TCGGGCAGCAGGGAGTCTCTGGGCTGCCACAAAAGTCTGGCCACACCTGTGCCCACTGCCCACCAGGGCCTTGTCCAGAGGGGGCATGGGCTCCTCTCTGATGCTTCCAAGGCCGGAAGCCATGTGGCCCAAGCCAGCACTGGACAACTCTGGAATGGGGGGAGTGAGGGTCATGGCCAGTGGGGGTCCTTGTGTTTCGAGGTCTTTTTGCACAATTGCAAACGTGATGACAGCCTCCCTGCTCATCCCTCCCACACCCACTGACTGTGGCCCTTTTGGGGGTATCCAAGTCTTGTGCCAAGTGAAAGGGCTTTACTAACCCCTTCTTGCCCAGCAGGGCCTGGAGGCAGTGGCTAGGCAGAGACGGTGCTTGGAGGGTGGAAACAGGCCCTTGAGCCATCACATTTATTGGTGGGGCACAATCAGGAGAGTTGGTGACCGTCAAGGCGACGGGGTGGGATGGGTGACAGGGACTCCCAAGCCCAGCTGACTGTGGGAGCAGCCCCCAGCCCCAGCATCCATATGGCTCCACGGGGCTGAATGCACACACAGACGGACTCAGGGTGCAGGGTGTGGTCAGGGCAAGGGTATGGCCAGGGTGGGCTGGAGCCACGGGAGTCCAGGGCGGGCCTGGTGGCAGGAGCTTGCTGGGCAGGCCCCCCACCACCGCGTTTTGCCCCCAGAGCTGTATGTGGCCCAGTGCACGCAGCGGCCAGTGGACATCGTCTTCCTGCTGGACGGCTCCGAGCGGCTGGGCGAGCAGAACTTCCATAAGGCACGGCGCTTCGTGGAGGAGGTGTCGCACCGACTGACGCTGGCGCGCAGGGATGACGACCCGCTCAACGCGCGCGTGGCCCTGCTGCAGTTCGGGGGTCCGGGCGAACAGCAGGTGGCCTTCCCACTGACCTCCAACCTGACTGCCATCCACGAGGCCCTGGCGGGCGCGAGCTACCTCAACTCCTTCTCGCACGTGGGCGCGGGCATCGTGCACGCCATCAACCACGTGGTGCGCGGGGCGAGGGCCGGGGCGCGCCGCCACGCCGAGCTGGCCTTCGTGTTCCTCACGGACGGCGTCACGGGCAACGACAGCCTGGAAGAGGCGGTGCACTCCATGCGCAAGCAGAACGTGGTGCCCACTGTCGTGGCCGTGGGCAGCGACGTGGACGCGGATGTGCTCTCCAAAATCAGCCTGGGCGACGCGGCCGCCATCTTCCGCGAAAAGGACTACGACAACCTGGCTCAGCCCGGCTTCTTTGACAGGTTCATCCGCTGGATCTGCTAGCGCGCCCGCTACCCCCGCGCTGAGCCCCGCGCCCCCACCCCCACCCGGCCACGTCCCGGCCTCACCCTGTGCCCCAGGCCCTGGAGTCACTGTCCTCCAATCCGCGGTGCTGCTCAGACCCCACCTAGAGGCCCGGTGCACTGCGGGCTCCATCTCTGCCAGTGTGGGAGTGAAGTCAGGAGTGGAGGATCCCTGCCCACCCCCAGCTCCCCACGGGGTCCCTCAGCCCTGAGCACCACTGAGTCCACTGTCCCCTCTGATCCACACATGCCCTGCCCTTCCTGGACCCGAGGCTTCCCAGGATGCCCTCCAGCGGCCAGCAGTCCAGACCTCAGCTGCAGGCCCCTCTCCCTGTCCCTCAGCCCCACTCAGCCCAGCATCATCCCTTGACTCATCACCCCTCCAGAGCCCTCCAAAGGCTCTCTGCCAGCCCTGCCAGCCCTCCTCTCTGGGGGTCACCTGCCCCTTGCCAGACTGAGCTGTGGCAGCGGGCCCTACACTTCCCTGTGTGCACACACCTCAGTCCAATAAAGGCTTTGAACCGCCTCCTGCTTGCTGGCTTCCACTGTGCCCAACCGGGGGCTTCTCCAGGCAGCCAAGGAGCCGCAGACCATTCACATGCCCACTAGGGTTCATCACACCCCAGAGTGCCCACCACCCAGGTGGTGCCTGACCTGGCCTCCTCTCCTTGAGGCAGGTGCTGCCTCTAGGCACCGGCCGCCCGCAGTGCCCCAAATGCACAGACCAACAGCCTCAGCCATGGAATCTGCCTGTCTAGTCGGCTTTGGGCTGAAAACCATGCTTGGTCAGTGAAGTCCCGTCTGTGCCCAGCCCAGGGCCACAGAGCTTTAAGGTGTTTGTGGGTTCACATCGGGAGAAGGGGAGGTGGACAGAGAGCTGCTGCTTCTCTGTGGCACCTCGGTGACGTCTTGTTGAGCCTCCTGAGCCCTCCAGGCACTCCCTCTGGGAAGGGCCACACTGAACCACGGATGCCACAGATGCTCTGCTCGCCAGCCCAGTCGGCCAGGGCTGCCCTAGGGAAGTGCACACACTGATCGGCTCTGACAATAGCAACCAACTCTCGGTCTGGAGGCCAGAAGTCCAAGACTGAGGTGCCTCCCACCGAAGGTTCCAGGGTGAGGTCCTCCAACCTCTAGCACCTCCTCCTTCCCACGGTGCCCTCTCTATGCACATCTGTGTCCACATGTGCCCTTTTTACAAGGACACTGGTCATTGGGTGGCTGGGGTCCTTTGAGGGTTCCAGCCAGCTCCGAGACCCCAGTGCTCACCATACCACTGTCCACAGAGTGTCCACTGGGGGCCCAGCCTTCCCAGGAGGCAAGGCACCAGCCCCTTGCAGCTGCTGTCTGAGCCCCAGCACACAGGGTGCCTGCGGGCCCCCCCCACGGCCCTGGCTGGCAGGACCCCTGCTCTGCCTGCTCATCTCCCCACCCCCCACCACCAGGCCCACTTGGATCTGTGTCTTGTCCCCTGAGAGCTGCAGACTGAGTTAAGGAGACTTGGCAAAGATCGGCCCGGTGGCCTGGCCCGGCAGCCTCTCAGAGGAAACTGGGATACCAGGCACACAGCAGTGGCCACAGAACCACTGGGCAATGCGTGGCGCCCCCCACATGAGGCTTAGCCAGGGAGCAGGGCCTGTGGGTGGGGGTCCCAGGGCCCTGTGACTCCTGGGCCAGGGAAGTACACAAGCCAGGGTCCCCTCACCAGTGCCCCCTCGCCAACATCTCCTCACCAATGTCCCCTCATCAGGGTCCTCACCGGTCCTCTTACCAACACCCCTCACTAGTGTCCCCTCACCTATGTCCCCACAGCAGCCCCCCAGTACCGTCCTGTCCCCCTTCAGTGTCCCTTGGTAATGTCCCAGATGTCCTGGGGCCAGGCTGGAACCTCCTGACCCACACCACTCTGTGCATCTTGGGGGCGGAGCTGGGACACTGGGAAAAGCCTTCTTCAAGGGCCAGGTTAGGGACCAACCAGTGTACAGTTGCCACGCATCCCACACTCCCAGGTCCAGCCCCACTGCCCGCCCATGACTGGCAGGGGAGGTAGGGTGCCAGGGCAGCCCCTCTGTGCTCCCCCACGTAAGGACCCCCCGGCACCTCACCCCACCTCCGCGTGGTGGGGAGGGCCCTATGCTCACAGTGCTGGGGAGCTAGAGGCCAGGTTCTGCCACCAGGGACTTGCACCATTGGGTAGGAGCCCAGGGGGGTGTTCCTGCTGGGTGGGGACAGTGAGGGGAAGGCCCCAGTGGCATTACTAGTGACAAAAAGAAAGCAAAACTTTTAATTAGGGTCCTCTCCCTCTTCCCTGCAGGTGTGATAAGCATACATATAAATTTGAGTGACTCTAACCAAAATATTGATATAAACAAAATAGAAAACAGATGGGGGAGCTTATCAGAGAACACGGCAGCCGGGAGTCATGTCTGTGCTGTAAGGAACCCACAGATCTGCAAGAAAAGCGGTTCCAATGAAATGGATGAAGAGCTTCAGCAGGCAGTTCTCAGAAACTAAGAGTTAATAGCCCATGAGCACAGTTTTTTAGCAGGACGGACTCGTTGATCACCAATCAGCTGCTAGAGGACACGCGAAGCACCTTCAGAGCTGCATCTGGCTGCACCAACCGTTCGCCCGAGGCCAGGGGACACCTGGGACCAGACGGCCTTGGCCTGGGAGGGACACCCCCACCCACACACACCCCCACCACCAGGCAGAGCCTCCCCCAGGTCAGGGTTCCTCTGTGTCAGAGTTCCCCCCAGGTCAGGGTCCCCCCAGGTGAGCCCCCCAAGCTCAGGGTTCCCCCCACCCCAATCTGCAAGGCAGAGCCTCCCCAGGTCAGGGTCCCTCCTGGTTCAGGTCCCCTGTGTCTTGGGGAGGCCGTGTCCTCTGCAGTCTCAGTGGGGAAAAGTGGACGAGGAGGCCACCAGGGACACCCTCAGTACCCAGAGGCTCGGGGCTGGGCAGGACTTCACCCCCACCAGCACCCCCACGTTGCCTGGACTCTGCCCACAGCTGGCTTGGCAAGCGAGCTGTGCTCCTGACCCAGAGGAAGCCACCACCCACTCCCTGTCCAGCAAAGTCCACTGGCTAGCATGGCAGGACCAGTGCTAACCTGCCTGCAGGGAAGTGTCCACAGGTCTCCCCGGCCCTCGGGAAGGGCATCATCAGCAGTGATGCCAGCCCGTCCTTAAGGCCATGAGCAATGATGGGCGGGGGCCCAGTGCTGGGCCCGCCCATCACAGGGAGGACACAGATGTGGCTCAAGGTGGCCTGCACTTGCAGGGGGCCCCAAAGGCACCGAGACAAGGGGAAGGAGGTGGAGACACCAGCCAGACTCCTGGGGAGCTGGCAAGCAAACACCAGGAACCTGTGCCAACTATGTTTGTTCAGCCGACCTCTGCCCTGGTGCCTCCCAAGCCTCAGCCTCTGGTTCTGGAAGCCCAGGTGCAGGGCAGCAGGCAGGGGGCTGAGGCAGGGGCCATGGAGAGCCAGAGCATGGCACGCACCCTGTGGCAGGGACCCCCCTGATCAGGGCGAACCCCCCAGCAAGGGCAAGCAGCAAAGGGTGTAGATTCTTCCTTTCCCAATGTCCCAGCTCCAAGGCGGATCCGCACCAACCTCGCTGTGAGGGCAGGGGAGCCCCAGCGACACTCCATGCGGTGCTTACACGTGTGGGCTGCATGGAGCCAGACCTCAGGGAAAGGCACAGCTGAAGTCAGAGCGGCCCCTGTGCCTCCCAAACCAGCCCTCCTAGGAGGTAGCCATGCTGGGGACCTTCCCTTGCATTTGCACACATCCACACATACGTGCTCACACACACACACACACACACAAAAAAAAAAACCATATGGGTGCACACGCACGCCAACTTCTTCCTGGTGCCCTGCCCTGTTCAGTTTGATTTATAGGAGCTTGTTATGTTGGTCAATAGTAACTCTCTGCCTGTTACAAAAGCTGGATTTTTTTTCCTTCCGATAGGATTCTTGTCATTTACCTTAGGATACGATGTTTTTCACCAGAAACAAGTTCTTAAATTTTCAAGTAGTAAATTTTTCCTATAAGGTATGTGGGTTCTCTGTCCTACTTAAGAAGAATGTACTTCCTAAGTTATTTTCCTTTAATATCCTGCGTTACTATCTAATAAGTACACTTTTTTATAACATGTGAATTGGAAGGAAGGAATTTTGGGCATGGTGACTTTTTAAGTTATTTCTAATGGTAACATCCTGGGGGCAGAAGATTGCCACAGCAGGCCCCTTGTCCCCAGGGAGACGTCCCCAGGAAGGTGCAGGACACTGGTGGGTGTTTAGGACCTGACAGCCAAGTTCCCAACAGGGAAACAGGTCATGCATCCAAGCAGAACACAGAAGAGAAACATGGGCGAGCGATTTCAGACTAACAAAGACAGTGAAACCACACTGATGCCCTCTGCCACCTTCTGGGGCAAAAGCCCTGATGTTTTACAGCACGTTCTGTTGGGAAGGGCATCAGTCCTGCAGCTCAGTAACCACCAGCTGGAAAGCCACGGGCAGGACCATGAGCATTTACTGCACTCGAGGATCAGTGGCCAGGGGCACCTCACCCTCAGGGACTTGCTCAGGCCCCACCCACACCGGGGCTGTGCGCAGTGGGGACGCTCATGCCCTGGGTTCTTTCTGGGTCTCCAGCCTATGGCAGCAGCGGTTCAGGGAAAGCTGTTCTCAGGTGGAGGTCAGAAGCCACCCAAGGGGTGAGTGCAAATGAGAGCCTCCTCTGGCCCAGGGTAGGCACTGTGCCATCCCTCCTGCCCACATTCCCTTGGCCACGGCGCAGTGTGGCTGGGCCCGGTGTCCATGAGCAGGGACACACTTCACTGCAGTGAGGGGAAAGGGGCCTGGATGCACTCTGCCGTGGGAGCCATGGGGCCATGTAGCAATGCAGCCCTCAGGAAGGTGACACCCCACCACTCAGTGGCTCCACCTGCCATGCGAGCCTTGTGCAGGACATCGCATGCCAGAGACAGACAAAAGCCCCGTGCACACAGGCACGTGGTAAGCAAAAGGCTTTTCTCTGAGGAGCGTGACTGTCCAGCACCCAGTAGGTGGGACTCACACATACCACACTGAGCAGCAGCTGCCTCGGGGGCAGGTGGCACACAGATCCCACCGATTGAAAGTTCAGCAAGCAGGGTAAACTGAACCATCATGTCCCGGAGCGTGCCTGTGCCAGACGGGTCTACAGGAAAGCAGGGCACAGGCGCCATGGAGCAGGGTGAGAGGCCGAGGGCCAGGTAAGGAGGATGCCATGGTGGGGAGATGGCCACCCAGGACACACTGTCACAAATCGCTGAGCTATTGGCCATGTTTGGGGCCCCTTTCTCCAGCATCTTGTTTCACAAGGAAACGGTTAAGAAAAAACACAGGAAATGGGAAGAGAATAAAGCACATTTCATGTTGGAGTCTTTCTAAACACTGAGGATATGAAAGATTTTCTGGCCATCTTGTTAAGTAGAAACAAATTCAGCATATAATCTGCTACGCCATGAAGGGAGAATTAGGAATATAAATTCCCATGCACTTGCGTTTGTGCAAATAAACACTAAATGAGCCCGACACACAGAACACGAGGGCTCCTGCAGGAGGTGTGGAGGGGTGGGGCCAGGCAGACAGGCTTCTCCAGGGAGTCCCTGTGTCCTTTTGGCTTTTGAGCTACTCAACACACTGCTCACTTAAAATGATTAAATCAGGAGAATCTCAGCCTGCAGCCAGCGGCGAGGCCCTCCTCCCGCAAAGCAGACCATACTCACATGCAGCTCCCAGCCTCTGGGGAGCACAGACCCCCACCTGGGGCCTCTCCGGACATCCCCCCAGCAGGGCGGGTCCGCTGCAACCCCACGCCCTCTGCCACCCCATGGAGTCCAGTCCACGGCCCCACAGTGCTGCCCTCTTCAGCTCTGTCGTGCTAAGCAGGTGGCGCTCAAACCTGGGCTGCTGATGGGGCTGGGGCTGGTGCCATTGCCCCCAGCCCGGGGCCCTGGAGAAGCCCTGGGGCTCCCTGCCACACCCCCTCCCTGCCCTGAGCCACTTAGGCCCTGCAGGTAGACAGGCAGGAGGCAGAGGGGCCCTGGGCTGGAGGCTGGGGCAGCCGCCCTCCTGGGACCCCCTCACTCACCATGGCCCCTGAGCTCCCACTCAAGTGAGAAACCAGTGCCCGCCCCTCCCAGGACCCCACCGGGACATGGGGACCCAGGCAGATCGCCATCACCCCCAGGCACTCCTGCACACGGGTCCCTCCTAGTCCTCGCCTGCCTGGGCCACGGGGCAGCCACCCCCACCAAGCCACGCAGCCAGGGATGAGCCCCGTGGGGCCCCGGCGCTCTGAGTGGCCCTAGCCAGCCCAGGCCCCACTGGCAGTCACACATGTCTGTGGGACCCTGGAGCCTGCGTGACACTTCGCGCTGTGCCCTGCTTCCTCCGACTCTGTCTCCCCATGCTCGCTCATCTCGGGGTCCCCCGACCCGCCCGCTGTGCCGGGCCCAGCCCCAGCCCTCACACACCAGAGGCACCGGTGTATCATGCTTTACTAGGGGTCACAGTGACAGGGGTGACACAGCCGACAGCCCGCCCCCAGGGCTCCACGGGGACCGTGTCTGGAGACCGCCCTCCACTGCTGGGCTGAGCGGGCCCCTACGGGAAGGGGCCATGGAGGGCACAGGGGCCTGCGCGGCCCTCACTCCTGCCGGGCCCCCAGGCGGTCCAGCACCAGCACCACCTGCACCTTGGCTTCCTGGAGGAGACTGGAGATGCGCTGGCGGGTCTGATGGACACAGGGCTGGGTCACCACATGCGCCTGCCGCATGCCCACAGGCCCATCCCTTGCCGCCTCCTGTGCCCTCTCTGCCACCTCCCAGGCCTGCCACTCTGGGTGCTCCTGGGCCCCGACGTGGGGCTCCAAGCCTCTCAAGGGTCTCAGTAGGCACAGGGGGAGCCCATGTCTGCTCCAAGCTGTGGGGACGGGCATGTCCCCCCCACCCCAGTCTTCTGGCTTTAGTCTGCCAAGGGCATGGCTGTGGCCCTGTGGCCCAGGGGTGCTCAGTGGCCCATTTAACTTGATGCCCGTGTGGGCTCCACGTGGGCACTGACTTCCCTCGGCAGCCAAGCTCAGCCTGGCTGGAGCCAGCAGGTGGGACCACAACATGATCATCGCGACCACTGGAGCTGGAAGAGCTGGTGGGTGGCCGCTGCTCTTCGAGGCCCTGTGGCCCTGCCCCCGGGGACTCCAGCCCTAAGCGCTCCCCCAAGGCCAACTCGGGGTGGCTGGGCCACACACAGCTCCGTCAGGCCACCCTCTGAATCCACCTGGGTCCAGCCCCCCGCCCGGCCAGAGGCCCACAGGAGGGTGGGGGCCGGTGCGCTCCCGGGCCGCCCAGCTCCACAGAAACCCCAAGAAGACAAGGGCTGGACCCCAGTCTGCGGACAGCCAGCCAGGCCTCGGCCCCACAGGCAGCGTCCCATCAGGCCGACACTTCCCTCGAGGACGGCTGGTCAGGGTCCCACTCCCCAGATCCCTCAGTGGGCCCGGAGTCTCCTGCTCACCTGCTCCTTAAACTCATCGTCCGCAATGTCAGTCAGGTTGACAAGCACGTTGAAATACGCACCAAACACGCCCATCTCCAGGGCTTTGGCTGCCACCTGCAATAGCCACAGGGGCGGGGCCGGCCAGCATGACGGTGTGGACCGTGCCAGCCATGGGGCCCACCCGCCATGCCCAGGCAGAGGCCACGGCCCAGGGCCCTCATGCCCCCTTGGCAAAGATGGCAAATGGAGGCCCCAGGTCCCCACTGCTTGAGGCCCCGGCCTCGGCCCACAGTAAGGGGCCCGGCCCAGCCAGCCATGAGCAGAGAGCACAGCCCCAGTCCAATTCTTCCCGCTTGAAGAGAGAACCTGTTGTCTGAGCAGGGCACAGCCTCCTAATGCCCAGTGTCAGGCGGGCCGCGGCTGGTGCACCTAGCCTGGCCGTGCAGGCACAGAGACAGGTCCCAGCCACTCCCCACCTCTGGGGCAGGAAGTTGACTGGGCACCAAGCAAGGGTGGAAGCCAGTCCCTTGGGCAGGGTGAGCGTCCACACCACTGACTGGAGTGGCAGCTCTGTCCTGGGCGGGAGCCTGGCCCTCCCTGGGGTTTTCCCACACCCCACCGCCAATGAGCATCCAGAACCCACCTTCAGCAGAGCTAGAGTCCCTGGTCCACATCTCACTGGCTTTGGTGCCCCCGACACCACCCACTGAACACTGCCTCGTGCACGGCCCTGGCTGGAGCCGGGATCCTAACAAGGGCCCAGCCTGTTGGTCAGGGACAGGCCTGAGCATGGGCCAGGGCCCAGGAGGAGCTTGGAACAGCAGAACTTCAGCCTTTGTGCCCAGGCAGCTTCCAGAGTGTTCTCAACAGCACGCATGCATCACCCACCCAGGGAAGGAAAGGGCACTGCAAACAGTCCTTGTGAAGACCCCAAAGGCCGTGGGCCAGGACGGGCTGCAGAAATCGCAGGGCCTGCCCTGATGTTCCTGGTGCCCGAGCCTCCGCTCACAGGCTGTGGACAGGCCATGTGTGTGTGCCTGTGCACTGCCCCACGTGTCCTGGACAAGGCAGTGGTGAGGAGGGAGGGAGTAGAGAGAGAGCACGGAGTGGCAGGGAGGGGTCTCCAGGAGGGTCTGTGGGGCGGCGGGGGTCACTCTGGACATACCCTGGAGCCCTGCCTCTCTGCTGGGCAGCCCTGAGCAAGATCCTTAATTCCCCAACTTCAAACAGAATAGAAAGTGGTCCCAGTGGCCGAGGGGGGACGGAAACGGCCCCACAACGTGCTCATGTCCAGGCCCAGCTTGCAAACTTGTCCAGAATACCACCCCTCCTGCTGCGCTCCCACCACAGGAGGCCGGCTCCTCTGCATACCTGCAGGTCCGACCGGCAGGCGGGGTTCCCACATAGGGCCAGCTCTTGCAGCACTGGCCACAGGGAGGCCACCGTCTCTGCCAGCTGCATGGGCACGGCCACAGCCCGCCTCAGCCCCTCCTGCAGGGCAGCCATGCGCCTGGAACCAAGGACTCGAAGGTCAGAGCCCAAGGCAGTGAGGACTGCCCAGACCCCACGCGGGCCGGCCGGCGGGGGGCAGGGGCCGCACTCATGATCACGACACTTCCCAGTGCGGAGCGAACAGCACCGAGGTCCCTTCAAGGAGCCTGCACGCCTGGTCCCTGGGCTCACCTGTCCCTTTCCTCGGCTGTGTTCTTGGGCAGCTTCATTGCATCCTATCAGAGCACAACGGAAATGCACAGGCTGAGCAGCAGCGTGTCCCAGGGCCACGTGGGGGAGTCACACAGAGGAGCCACGTGGTGGGCCACGCAGAGAGCCTCCAAGGGGCAAGGGGTGCCTCCAAGCATGGCTCGCCTGTGTCCCCATGCCAGGCTGGCACTGCCACCAAGCACAGACAGCTTTGAGAGCAGAGCTCTGTCAGGCTCCACGGCTTAAAGCCTGTGGCGCTGGGCCTTCAGCAAAGAGGTGACCCGCACTGGGTACTAAGGGATTCGAGAGGAGGGCAGCCCCTCGGGGCCAGGGAGCCTCTGGGCACTCCCCTCCCACGGCACTGACACAGCGACAACTCAGCCCCCAGAGTCTAAGCATTCAAGACCCAGACCGTGTCCCCAGCACAAAGGTACTGCACGGCCAGCAGCCTCCGAGGGGCGGTCACCCCGGGCCCGGCGCTGCACACATGGGCTCTGAGCGAGGCCTCTCCGTGCGGCCTGCCTGCAGCGCCCCCCTCTGGAGCGAGGTCCGGCTCCGGCCCACCTGCTGCCGTCACTGCTGGAGCCGGCCCGGCCCTGCCCGCGGCCCTCTGCCAGGATGTGGCCGAGACACCTCGTGCCTCTCCCGGGGACCGTTCGGCACCAGCTTCTCTTTGTAAGCTTTCTCTCGCCCTTCCTTGTGGGTGGGGGCTCTTCTTTGGGGCCTTGCCTTCCCTGCCCCCGTGGGGCTCAGAGGGCAGCTGGGGCCGGGCTAAGCCCAGGGAGCTCCCCTCCCTCCCCACCCCTGCCAAGCCCCCAATAGACTCCTCCCGGACTCAGCCTTCCAGTGGCCACTCCCTCTCCACGGCGGCCTCGCGCCTGCCCCGGCACCCCGGCGGCTGCCCCTCCCCAGGCCCCGGGCCCTCCCCGCCGACCCCTGTCCCTCGTCCCCGCGCCCCCGGCCCGCGCTCACCAGGTAGCCCTCGAAGGCCCGCGCGTCCGCGTCCACCAGCGCGCTCAGCGCCGCCGAGGCCGCGTGCAGGGGTGGCACCAGGCGCCGCACGGCCGCGTCCAGGGCCTCGAACTGCCGCCGCCCGTAGGTCATCAGGCCCACCATGCAGGCCAGCGCCGCGCCCTGGGCACAGACGGGTGTGAGCTGCAGGGGGACCCACCTCGAGCACCGTGCCCGCCCGACCCGCCGGCCCGTCTGCGTCCTCGACCCCGCTCCGTGCACACTTACCAGGGCTGCGCAGGCCGCCGCCACCGAGCCGCCCCCCGGGGCTGCGGAGCGGGCGCCCACCTCGCGGATGAAGGTGCGCAGGGGCTTGTCCACCAGGCTCTGCTCCGGCCCGCCGGGGACTAGGTACCTGCGGAGGGGAAGGCTGGGGAGGCCCGGTGGACTTTGGGCTTGCCGGGAGGGGGCTGGTCTTGGGTGTTGTGCGGGGGGAGAAGTGGGGGTCCTGGGGAGGGGCCTCATCGGGGGGGCGGGGTCCTGGGGAGGGGCCTCGTCCTAGGTGGGGGGCGGGGTCCTGGGGAGGGGCCTGGTCCCTAGGTGGGGGGCGGGTCCAGGTCCCGGCTGTGAGGGTGGGGCTGGTTCTGAGGTGGCCCCAGAATCCAGGTCCACCCCTCCCTAAGCCCTGACTTCACCAGCTAAGGAAAGGGGACAGGTCCACTGGCAGAGCGGCCGTCACCACCCAGGAGGCCCCATAGGGTCTGGCAGAGCCTTGGGGCCTCACTGCACCCCCCAGCCAGACCCCAGTCCCACACCGGGCACAGGCACCCTGGCGTTTGCTGATGAGTAAGTGACCAGGAGGATGGCTTTGGAAGGACTGAGGTCTCCGCGGGCCGGGGGTGCTGCTCACTCGATGACCCGCTCCTTGGGGTTGAAGGGGGATAGGGAGTCCAGGCCCAGCCGGCTCACCACCTGGAAAAGGGGGCTGGTGAGGCAAGCCCAGCAGGAGGCAGGCTCGCAAGCAGGCTCACCCCTGCCCTGTCCGCCTCTGTATGGGGAGCCCGGCACAGCGAGCCTCACGCCCCCCTCCGGAGCCCTGCCGGCCGACCACTGGCTTCTGGGCCAAGCTGAGCCCCACCCAGGAAAGCCCAGTCAGGAGCAGGCACCCTGGTCAACGACTCCACAGAGCCACCCTCCAGTGCCTCCCCACAGGGAAGCTGAGGCCCAGAGAGGAGCGGCCCTCACAGCCCCTCTGCAGACCACAGGGTCCTCCCATGTCTTCCACGAAGACACCGTGCATGAGCCTGTTGCTGAAACCGAATGGCCTATTTGGATGAGATTTCAATTCCTTGGGTGCCGGGACTCCGTGCCTACAATCAGGAGCTACCTGATTCCCTGAATAGAACAGTTATGTAAGGAAAAGTGGATTTTCCCTAAATTCAAAATAAAGTTGGAACAATCCCTATTTGAAGTCAGAATTTTTTCTGCTGGAAAACATTCAAAACGCTGGTATTCTATGCTAGAGACACAGTCCCGGCCCATTCGGAGCCACACAGACTGACACTTCTTTCTACAAAACATCGAAGTAAGAGGTGTGGCTGGAGAGGAACCATCAGGGCCGTCATGAGCCTCCCAAGGCGGTGGAAACGGGTGGAGAGGGCATCCTGAGCACCGGCCTGCAGGGTTGGCAAGCGGGCAAAGCCCACCTGGTTCAGAAAACCTCAGAAAGACAGACAGAATCTTTTACTGTATCTAAGTGCCTGGCCAAGCTGGCAGAAAGTAAGGCAAATCATTCAAGGCCAGAACTGACCAGGGAGGTGAACCAGAAAGGCCTGCCCGCCCTGAAGCTGGGCCTCCCAGGACGTCGGCGCACCTCTGCAGCCCCTTAGGAGCAGGGGGGGTGTCGAGCCCTCAAGAGAGGTGTCAGACTGGAGAGCCCTGAAAGCCAACATCTCCAAGGGTGAATCAGGAAAAAACCCCCATTGAAGGATATTATTGGAATACTCCCAAACTTCCGCCTTCCCTTTGGTGAAGCAGGAAAAATCTTTCTGGGAATTCTGACCACACCACCCTCATGGGGATGCGGTCCATGGTTCACACAGGATTCTCTACCTGTGTAGTTCCAAAGCTCCAAGCAGAAGACTAAGTGGAAGGTGGCCCTGTGTGGTAGGGTCCCCAGGCACCTGACAGAGGTGACACAAGCTTTAAACCCAGGTATCCAAGAATGACCACAGATAAAGTCACAAAGAACATGCTCTCATAATCAAAAATCACAACACACATAAAGAAGCAAGTCACCATGGGAGTCAGCAGACACAGCTTGCAAAATCAGAACTTCAAAGACCGCAGATGTCAGAACTTTCAGATACAGAATATTAAATGATATGTTTTTTAAAAAGAGTAGAGCAGAAAGATGGCAGTGCAAGGGGTGAGACAGAAGCTTCCTCCTAAAACCGCATATAATACAAAAATATAATTAATACAACAAATCCTGAAGAAGCTACAGAAAAGAGGGCTGCACCAGACAGTAGAACAGTTAATTACTAAGCAAATGCAAAATTAAATAAACTACCCACAAAGTCAATCAAGGGGTAGAGAAAGTGTACAGAATATGATACCTAATATATAAAGAATGGAGGAGAAAGAAAAAGGAGGAGAAAAGAAGAACCTTTAGATTGTGTTTGTAATAGCATACTAAGTGAGTTAAGTTAGACTCTTAGATAGTTAGGAAGTTAACCCTTGGTAACCACGAATCTAAAGCCTGAAATGGCAATAAGTACATACCTATTGATAATCACCCAAAATGTAAATGGTCTGAATGCACCAACCAAAAGACATAGAGTCACTGAATTAATAAAAAAAACAAGACCCATCTATATGCTGCCTACAAGAGACTCACTTTAAACCCAAAGACATACACAGACTAAAAGTGAGGGAATGGAAAAAGATATTTCAGGTAACTAATAGGGAGAAAAATCGGGAACAAGAAAGGATGCCCACTCTCTCCACTTTTATTCAACATAGTTCTGGAGGTCCTCACCACAGCTATTAGACAACACAAAGAAATAAAGGGCATCCAGACTGGTAAGGAAGAAGTCAAATTGTCACTGTTTGCAGATGACATGAAAGTGTACATAAAATCCGCTCCAAAATTACTAGATCTAATAGCTGAATTCAGCAAAGTTGCAGGATACAAAATTAATACACAGAAATCTGTTGCATTCCTATACACAAATGATGAACTAGCAGAAAGAGAAATCAGAAAAACAATTCCATTCACAATTGCATCAAAAAGAATAAAATACCTAGGAATAAACCTAACCAAGGAAGTGAAAGACCTATACTGTGAAAACTGTAAGAAACTCCTGAGAGAAATTAAAGAAGACACCAATAAATGGAAACATATCCCATGCTCATGGATAGGAAGAATTAATATTGGTAAAGACATATGCATAACTATGTTTATCACAGCACTATTTACAATAGCCAAGATATGGAAGCAACCTAAGTGTCCATCAGTAGATGAATGGATAAAGAAGATGTGGTACATATACACAATGGAATATTATTCAGCCATAGGAAAGAAACAAATCCTACCATTTGCAACAACGTGGATGGAGTTAGAGGGTATTATGCTCAGTGAAATAAGCCAGGTGGAGAAAGACAAGTACCAAATGATTTCCCTCATTTGTGGAGTATAACAACGAAGCAAAACTGAAGTAACAAAACAGCAGCAGACTCGGAGACTCCAAGAAGGAACTAGTGGTTACCAGAGGGCAGGGGTGGAGAGAGGGGGTGGGGAGGGAGGGAGAAGGGGACTGAGGAGTATTATGTTTAGTACACATGGTGTGGGGGATCACGCGGAGAACAGTGCAGCACAGAGAAGGCACATAGTGGATCTGTGACATCTTACTACACTGATGGACAGTGACTGCATTGGGGTATGGGTGGGGACTTGAAAATATGGGTAAATGTAGGAACCACATTGTTTTTTCATGTGAAACCTTCATAAGAGTGTATATCAATAATACCTTAATAAAAATAAATAAATAAATAAGGCATGCTAGTAAAAAAATAAAATAGAATAGAGTAGAGCATTGAACACATAGGAATACATAAACTTGGGAGAAGTGAAAGCTTTTTCTTACAGAAAAAGGATGAAGTTAGAAAACTGTCACTGGCTGCAGACATGCCTATAATTTCTAGAGGAAGAGGGTATTTACATATTCTTAAAGTACCTTCCCACAGAGTGGTCATCACAAAAGGAAATACAGGAACATTTCAGTGGACAGTCCTGGGTGGGGGACACTGCCTTGTCCAAAGGACCCAAGACAGCACGCTAAGATAGGTGGCCCTGGGGGTCCCCTGCTGCCATGCCCCCAGGAGGACTCGGCTCTGTGCTGCTCCTGCCCAAAGGCACAACCACATCGAGTCAGGAGCAGTGGAGACCCGCACCCAGCGTGAGACGCCAGACGGTACCCAGCCTCTCTGTCACGGTCAGTGAAGGGCAAGGCGGACTGAGCAAATGTTACGTGAGAGGCCCTGGGATACGGACAGCCACACGCACTGCTCCTGAATGCATCCCAGCTGGGGCAGAGAGAGCTTTAATGAGGATTACTGGGACACTGATGCAGTTTGCTTATGGACTGTAGCTTAGAAACTAGGAAGGTATTACTGTGGAATTTCCTGATTTTGATACTTATACTATGGTTGTGTAAGAGAATGTCCTTGTTCTTAAGAAATACACCCTGAGTAAATTAGGGGCAAAGGGGCACAATATCTTCAACCTGCTCTCAAGTGGTCCAGAAAAAAATAATAATGTGATTATGTGTGAATACAGAGAAAGAAAGATACAGCAAATGGGACAAGACATAAGCAACTGTGAGTGCTCCTTGGACTATTCCTGCACTTTTTCTGTGAGTAGAAAATCATACCAAAATGAAAAGTCCCACAAATTTTTGTAACACTAGGAAGAGAATAGAGCTGGCCATACACTGTCAGTGACTTAAAAGCTGCATTTGAGGAAATCACTGCAAATATAAGGAAAGGAAATGGAAAGAAAGCAAAGAAAAGATAGAATATGTAGAAGACAGGAAATGCTACTGCAATATATTTGGTGTCCCTAAAATGAAGGAACCCAATAACTGGATCAAAAATACAACTGAAGAAAATATTCCTAAAACTACACAAGAATCTGCAAACCACAGGGGCACTGCTCCAGAGAAGAGTGACGTAAGGGGGCTGGTGTGGCAGCACGGAGATTCACGCCGGCCTGACCTACCTACAGAGCTGAGACTAAACATCTGGGATATTCAATATAGTCAATACACAGGGATATGGTTACAGAAGGTGAATGTTATAAATTCAACAATGTAGAAATAACAGCACAACGATTTAAATCCAGAGCGGATGACCACTCACCCTAGCACTCTTATTTTCCTGTGCTTCACGAAGAGTCGACAGACATTGTCCAAACTGATAGAGAAAGAGCTACATACAGGACTAAGTGAGCTGCTTAAACCGAGAAGCGCCACCCCCCTAGAGCTGATACACAGATTCAGCTAGGCAGCAGGGTACAAAGTGAACACACAGTTGCATTTCTGAACACTGACTCTGACAACCTGAAAAGAAATTACAAAAACAGCTCCATTCATAATAGCATCAAGAAGAATAAAATGAGGAGTTAGTTAGCTTAGCCCTGGAGGTGAAAGACTTGTACAATGACACGACAAAACATTGCTGAAATTAAAGAAGACGTAAATAAATGGAAACACAGCCCATTTACAGATCAAAAGACTCACTATTGTTAAGATGTCAGTAGTGCCTAAAGCCATGTACAGAATCAGTGCAAAGTCCTATCAAAATCCTAATGACATTTTTTTTGCAAAAACAGATTTTTTTGCAGAAAAGAAACACACACCCTGGATGATGGTGGTGGCTGCACATACAGATATGTTTAATACCACTGAGCTGTACATTGAAAAACTGCTGAGATGGCAAAATTTATGTTATGTATATTTTACTACAATAAAAAATTTGAAAAAAAGATTAATCACCAAAAGATTTAACCACCCCGCCTAAAAACACTATAAAAAATCAGGAAATAGAGAAGTAAGAAAAGATAGCAGTAGATGCTAAGTGGATTTATTTTCTCATTTTCATAGCAGGCAGTCAGTGTACTGATAAAAATTAATACAAATTGCCATATTTGAAAACTTGGACACAATTTAAAACTGACAAATCAAATAATAGAGTAAGTACACTAAGTTACAAAGGTGATCAGCCAAATACCTAAAAAACAGACTGACTTCTGTATAACCAGAAGGAGACTTCACCCTCACCCCCCACATACCCAAAAATCAGTCAAAAGTCAGTCCAGCCACACCTGCTAAATCAGTTAACACAGAGGCATACACCGACCGGCACAGCACCCTGGCAGGGAAGGCCACTATGCTCACTGGGAAGAAATGAGCTGCAACCAAGCGCCTCAGACACCAACCGCCTCCATGGCAACTGTGGCCCCAGGCAGGCCCTATGGCCTGAGGAGCTCCAGGGCCAGAGGTCACGTCCACAAAGGAAATGTTCTCGGCACAGGATGGAGTGCGATGGATTTACACAGCCACCCACAGGTGCCTCAGGACCGACACCAGGGGGAAAGGGAGGAAAGTGGGGCACCACCCTCTCTGCAGAACTTTTGCATTAACGTCTGACTTTAGTCACAGGGCGCTCTGTGGCGTTCCCAAATAAAAACAGTATGATCTCACTTCTCAGTGCAGGCAACAAAACAAAGCTGGAGGGGGAGGCCAGGCCCGAACACGGCCCAGGCCCGCGGGGCCACCTCTGGCTCCGCCCTGCTCCTCCGGCTCCTCTTCCCACCCCGGCCAGCCCTTCCCGCGGCAGCCCAGCCCACCAGCCGCATGCGCTGCTCCTCCTCCAGGACGAAGAGGTTCTCCTTCTCGCAGTAGAACGAGGCCACGTCCAGCAGAGCCTTCAGAGGCACCAGGCCCACCAGCTGGGAGCCCACCACTGGGAGGCTCAACTCCTGCAGAGGGCAGGCGACATCAGCATCAGGGCATTGGGCTGGGCACTGCCGCATGGTGGTGGGAACACCTGCCCGCCCACCTGGAGGATCTCTCAGCCAGCAGGGGGCGGCTGCCCACTCACCTGGGCTTCTCTGCAGGTCTCCTCATAGACAGTGTGCAGCCCTGTGACCTCAAAGTCCAGGAGGTTCGTGGACACCTGAGCCAGGCTCTTCTCATCCAGGTACCAGCCAATGCCCTGGACCTTTTTCAGGCGTCCTGGCTGCAAAGGAAAAGCCCTTCCTAGAGGCTGGCTCTGAAGCCACTTGCAGCTGTGTCCCCAGCTGGCCTGGAGTCTCCCTTCTCCCCGATGTCTGAACGCCTGTGGCCCACCTCCTCACCCTCCCTGCTCCCTCGTCTGAGCCAACCAGGAGGGTCTTGCCCACCAGCCAGAAACTGAGGCCCCAAAAGGTCAGACACCAGATGCCACTCCCATTAGCATCTTGTTCAGACCAGGTCCTGCCTGCTGGGCAGCACTCCACCCATGTGCCTGTCCTGGAGGCAGCCAGGGTCCACCCTACTGCTGCAGACTTGTGCTCACCCCCTCCCACCCACCCCACCCTAGAGGCCATGCTGGGCCCCTCACTCATGGCTTGGCCCCAAGGAGGACCTCTGGTCTCTGACTTCAGCAGAAGCCGAGGGGTTTGGTTTGCCACGCTTTTACTCTGTGCTCACAACCTAGCGAAACTGGGCTCCCGGGCCTCGGCCACCTGAAAGGACCCAGTCTCTGCGGGGCGTGGAACAGTACCTGGGGGCCCCTGGAGGCATGTGGGGGCACGTGAGGTGATCCGGGGGCCCCTGGAGGCATGTGGGGGCATGTGAGGTGATCTGGGGCTGCCTGGAGGTCCCCAGGAATTCAGAGGCCCTAGAGTTCACAGGCAGCTGCCTTCCTATCAGTACGGAAATGCCACAGTGTTTTCACAATAGGCATAGACCTACCTGCTTCCATGGAAAATGTCCTTTGAAGCAGGTTCTCCCCCAGAGATGTGAAGCCCACACTGCCCGGCCCCATGCCGTGTGGACACTGAGGCTGGGCTGGGCCAGCAGGTTCCATGGGGCAGCAGGGAGTCTGGCGCCCTCACCTGGCCCTCCCCGCGGCCCTGCTCCCGCAGGTTGAGGGCAATGCGGTGTGCCTGCTCTTTGGTGCTGAGCAGGTTGATGTTGAATGCGATGAGGAACTTTCGGGCCCCTGTGACAGTGGCGCCCCAGCTGGGGACGAAGTTGCTGGGGCCAAAGTCAGGTGCCCACTCGGTCTGCTTGAGCTGTGGGGAGACACCCCCAGAGGGACACCTGCTGGGTTGGGGCAAGAGGAGGAGGGGACACCCACCCCTGCAGGTCCACCCCAGGCCCACCCCACCCACAGGGGGAACAGAGCACCTTCTCAGGGAGGGCTTCATACTCCCCAGCCCGGATGGCCGGCAGGGTCCGGCGACTGGCTGTCTGCGCCGCCTCGCCGTAGAGGTACACTGCAAGCCGAGCCTGGTGGTCAGGCCTCGGCTGGAGGGTGGCCCACTGCCCCGTTCCCAAGGAGGAGCAGGCAGGCCACTGCACTCGCCCAGCCTGGGGCCACACCTCCCTCAGCTCGCACCTCATGGGAGGGCGCCTTCCTCTGTGGCTTAGAGGAGGGGTGTGGGTGGCCGCTGCTGGGCAGGCATGGGCCAGGGCTCCTCCTCCACCCACCCAGCGACAAGGCAAGCCCCACCCCTGCTGCTCGCCCCACACGTGCCCCAGAAAAGCCATCACCAAGATTGCAAAGAGTTAGAGGTGGGTGTGGATGGATGATCTCATGCTTCTTTATAAAATATATTTTCATTGTACAATAAATATGACCACAAATTAAGGAACACATGAAAGAAAACAAACCTCAGCACAAACCCCCAACATCTACATGGCCACTGGGACACCTGTGTGTTTATCCTCCAACCTGGCCTGTATGGGCATGGGCTGTTTGGGGCCCTGCGCTCCGGTGTCCTGTCCCCATCCCCCTGTCCCCCTAAAGGCGTCCCAGGGCATGCATTCTGTAGGCTCACCTGTGCTGGCCATGCACTTTTTTCTGGGTCCTTTTCTCTATTTGGTTAAATCCCTAAAGTGAAACTATTTTGTCAGGAGACAAGGACTTGTTCGGGCTCTTACTCATTTGCCACGTTACTTCAGGAAGCAGCTAAGAGGTCTCTGCCACCAGGCAATGCGGGAGAGCCCCCCACCCCCCAGAGGCCAGGCACGCCACACGGGGTGGCTTCTGTCTGCATTTATCTCATCACAGAAGAAGTGGGCATTTCCCTGCATCCATTTGCTTCGGAACAATCGGGCTTTCAGGGAGTCCAGAGCAGGGCTCCACTGCCCACGGGCCTGGAGTGCAGTGAGGAGGGATTGGGGCTCAGGCTTGGGGTGCTCACCTGGCACGCCCAGCTCCTCTGCCAGCTGCTGGCCAAAGGCCTGGGCGCAGAGCACACACTCGTCCATGGTGACCCCCCTCACCGGGATGAAGGGGCAGACGTCCAGGGCGCCCATCCGAGGATGCTCCCCTACAGGGACAGGGCGAGGCTGCGGACCCTGAGGCGTGGGCGTGGCCCAGGGCGGCCTCTCCAGCCCAGCCTGCCCCCCCACACCCGGCTGTCCATGCTGTGCACAGGGCCCAGCGTCCTGGCGGTAAATGCCTCCACCCCGCAGGCTGCAGAGATGACCTCTGCCCCCACCCCCAGGTGGCTGCCAGGTCCATAGGTCCATGGGTCCGTGGATCCGTGCTGTGATAGAGCGCCCTGCTCGTCGCCCAAGTGGACAGCAGTGGGCTAGACTGAGCCGCAGGGTCCCCGGCGTCCAGAGGGTGAGCCCCACCCCCCAACTCCTTCCTCTCCTTTAGGGTCAGTGTCCTGTCTCCTCACCACTGGGGATCCCTCATGAATTCCCTCCACGAGGGCCTGGCCTCCCCAACTGAGAAGCCAGAGACCTGCCCTGTTGACCAGCTCCCTGTGTGGCCACCAACCTTTGACCCCTTCTGCCCCAGGGAATGTTTGGTTTTCTGGCCATTGACAGGCCTGCAGACCTTGCCCCACCCACCCCTGGGCTCCCAGAGTGAGTCTCTGCCAGTCGCTCTGGGAGCCCCTGCACAGTGGGTTCCTCTGGAAATACGGGGTCCTCCCAGGAGTTGCTGCGGGTCCCTCGGGCCCCGTGCCCAGTGCTGCATGAGGCCTGTGGTCAGGGGCAGCCAGCCCAGCGCCCCCACCCACCTTTGTGCCTGCGCATGTCAATGAGCCGGGAGGCGGCCCGGGCGGCATTGAGGGCCCCCTCCACCACATCCTGGGGCCGCCCCACAAAGGTGTACACAGTACGGTTGGTGGAAGGGCCTGTGTCCACATCCAGCAGCACGCAGCCTGGGGTCTGTGTCACAGCCTGGGAGATGGCGTCAATCACCTGGGGACAAGAGCCCAGCCCTGTGCCTTGGTGCCCCTTCTTGGAACCGGAGCTTTGGAGGTGGCCGTCCCTCTCCTGCCCCACCCCCCCACCCAAACATGGCCCGAGCAACTGGTGCTGAGCATTTGGGAGTTCCCCAAACAGCGTGGCTCCAGGGACCCTTCGGCCGCCGTGGCCACCAAGGAAGCGGCAGCCAGCAGCACCTCCCAGAAGCTGAGGCCAGGAGCAGGTGCCCCAGGAAGGGGACCTGCAGGCCAAGGTCACAGAGGGGCAGGGCCCAGCCCCCTCAAGCAGCCTCCAGGGGTATGGTCTGCACAGGGGAAGGGCATGAAGGGCCCAGAATCTTCTGAGGCAGGATACCCCGTGGCTGGGAGCAGGGCTCAGGGCCCGAACCGCTCTGTGGCCCTCAGTGCCTGCCCCTACCCCTGCACCTGCTTTCTCACAGGGGATAGCAGGGAAACAGCACTGCTCGACAAGGTTGGGGAGGACGCGGGAGATAAGGGCTATGGTAGGAACCTCAGCCCCATGGCCCAGACCTTGGCCAGGAACGTTGCCTGACTGCACCCTCCATCCCCTCCCTCACCCCTGGTCCCCAGGCTCATGGGGCATGTCCCTGTGGGCTGACGGGAGGTGATCCTCCTGAGAAGACGGACCCCCATGGCCAGCAGGTGCCTTCTCCCAGGCCCCAGCCCCAGGTGCTGCCCCCACCGGCCCCCAGGCACTCACCTCCTGGTTTCTCCCCTCTGAAAAGTTGGGGACACATTCCACCAGCTGGGACATGGTCTGGGCGTTGATGAGATTCTCCTCTCACAGACGGGGTGCGAGGGGCTGCTGCTCTCCAGCACCTGGGAAATCTTTATGTGCCTGGGCAGCCCCCCTCAGCAGCCAGGTTGCTTATTAACCAGCAGTCGCGGCGGGGTGGGACAGGCCATGGTCCTTGTGCAAACACACAGCAGAATGGGGTGGGAGCAGGGCCAGGACCCAGTGGGTGACAGCAGAGGAGGAGCTGGGTGAGGCCTCCCCAAGGAAGCCCCTGTGAGCCGGACCCTCCCCGGGCCGTGGCCTAGGTCAGCCCAGGCTCCAATCCCAGCTTGGCCCAGGGCCACCTGGTGGCCATCTGGGAGACTCCCCATGAGACCCTCAAGTGGCCTTCAGGGTGCCCTCTAGCCTCTGTTTCATCCTGTGAATGCCGGAGCCTCAGGGCTTCACTGGGGGCGGGTCATGTGAGAGGTCCCTGCATAGGACGTGGCTCCTGGCCAAGCAGGAGCTTGGGATGCATGTTCCTGGGGGCTGCTGTGGGGCGGGCAGGTAGGCCTCACTCTCCCCAGCTGCTGGCTGCCACTCCCACAAGGGGCAGCACACCCCAGAGCAGCAGCAGGGGCCCGGGGGTCAGGGCCTGGCTGGCTCAACGCCCTCTGAAGTCCCTAAAGATCTTTGAACTGGGCGGGCATTTCCATTCTGCAAAGACACAACTATTGCATGGCCACCCTGGCAGCACATGGACACCCCAGAACTGGAGTCACTCTATGCCACCTCTAGGGGGCCTTCCAAAGGCAGGCTGTTCCCCTGCTGTTGCCCTTCTGCATGCAGGCACCCCCCCAACTTTTGGGGCAACCAGCATCTGAGGCAACTTGACCCCATGGCAGTGAGAGGCAGCCATAGGCCCAGGCAGCAGATGCCCAGATCTCTCCCATCCCTGGTGGCATGGGCCTTGGGACCCCACCCCTCCAGTAACCACCCGTTCAGTGGCCAGACAAGCCCAGAGACCCTGAGAGGCTGGGGGAAGAAGGCCCTCTCCCTGGGTGAGTGGGGGCAAACGTAATCATACCACCTCTGGTACCTTGAGGGGAACACAGGGGCCTCAGCGACACCTGGCAGGCAGCAAAGGCCCAGAAAGGCAGCTCTCCAAACCCTGAGCCCAGTGCCGAGTGGCACCGAGAGAGAGCCTGCAGTCCCAGGGTCATCCAGAAGTGCCGCCAAGCCCTGTTCAGACAGGCAGTCGTTCAGAGGCCCCAGGCTGATGGGGAGGCCCTAAGCCAGGGGCTGGTGCCCAGCAGCTGGAAGGAGCAGAGGCAGCTGTAAGCTGAACTGTGCCCCTCCAAAATCACCCACTGAAGCCCCCCCCAGGGCCCCACAGCATGGCAGTGCTTGGACACGGGTCTGTGGAGCAGTGATGACAGCAAAACGAGGCCACTAGGCTGGGTCTTGATCCTGTCAGACTGACGTTCTTCTACAGGGAGGCTGGGACTATGTAAGGACACAGAGAGGCAGCGTCTGCACCCCTAGGAGAGGCCTCGGGCGGGGAAGCCAGCCCTGCCCACACCTGGACCCCGACTCCCAGCCCCCAGGACTGAACCTCCCACCTGAGGCCTTTGTTACGGCTGCTAAGACAGGGTTCTAGGGTGCCGAGGAGTCCAGGACACACAGGCTATGAGGACTGAGGGATCGTTTGCCCCACGTTGGGGTCGGCTCCCAAACCCCAACACCCGCAACAGCACACCCACAGCAGAGGCGTGACAGGGAGCCTCTGCTCAAATCTGAGCCCTAGAAAGTGCCAAGCAGGCCCAGGTCCTGCCTGCCAGGTCCGGAAGGCCACCCATCCTCTAGACCTCAAGAAAGCTCCAGCGGGATGTGGGGGTTCATTGAATCACCTTCTGACTCACTCAAGGCCACCCATACAGTCATCCCAACCTGTTCCTGGGTTAATGCTCTGCTGTCATTGTCTCGAAATTCCTAAGTTTTACAAGGGGCTGAGTTCCCACTCTGCACGGGGCCTGTAGATTCTGCAGGAATCCTGCCCACGTCTGAACCCTTGCCCCAGGCTCTGCATTTGGGGAACCCCAAACTGGGACAGGTCCTGCTGGCCCTTTCAAGGGAAAGTCCTGAGACCTCAGAGGGTGATGGGGAAGGTCCTGGGGATCGAAGAGTCTGGGGGCACTGCCTGAGCTGAAGCCCTTCCCATCCAGGCTCTGTCCAGGCTCCTGTCCACAAACACAGGGATGCCTCCTGTGGCGGAGCAGTGACCCAGTGCTCTCTGCGACCTCAAAGAGCCACAGCGAAAGGCAGACAAGTAAACATGATTTTAATAAAGTGCGGCAGTACCACAGCTGTGCGCAGTGGCAGGGGCGCCTGGGGACGCAGCAGGTCCAGAGAGGCACCTGCACCGGGTGCTGGCGGGCGCGCGGACCTTCCCCGCGGGCGGGATTCAGGCGCATGCGGCCCTGGGCTGGGAACAAAACGTTTATTGCAGGGGACACCGCCGCCGACCAGCTCGTGCAGCGCGGCCACAGCTGGAGGGTGCCGGAGGTGTTGATGAGGGGCTCGCCAAACACCGGGTGCACGTCACGGTTGTAGCCCCGCTTCTCCAGGTACACCGCAGCTGCTTCTCGTCCACGGAGCCGTCCAGGGATTTGATGGACGTCTGTGGGCGGGCAGGAAACTGAGGCCAGAGCCACACTCCCGCCAGCCTCCCCTCCCCTGCAGCCCTGGGGACACAGGGACAAGAGGCACAGGGCGCAGCATCCCTGGCGCAGGAGAGGTAGCTGGCGCCCACAGCACGCCTCATGGTGCTCAGTGGCCCAGCCACTCCTAAGACTGCACAGGCCACATGCAGTGTGCGCGGAGAGGCTGGTCATTAGGACACAAGTGCCTTGGACGCCCCTCAGCCCACCCAGGCCTGCAGCATGACAGGGCTTTGAGGACACCTTCCCCGGAGCAGCAAGGGGGCTCCTGGGACAGGGAGGGCACCCCAGGCAGGGAGACACACCTGCCTGATCTTCTCAGGGATGTTGGAGATGGTGAGGCCATACAGCCGGGTTACCCCCCGGGAAGACGTAGGCCAGGATGTGCCAGTCCAGCTGGAAGGCGATCTCCCCAACGGAGCCCGTCCTTCTCGGCACTGGTGAAGCTCTGGATCTCTGGAGGGGGGCGCTCAGTGAGACAGCCAGGTCCTGGGGCTCAGCGGACCAGGCCCCCTGCCACCCTCCCGCCCTGCTGCCAGATTCACCTGGGGGAAAGCACCAACCTGACCGTGACCACTGCGGCGTTGGGGTGAAGCCTCTGGGCCCCTGAGACCCTGGTGAGAATTGTGGTGTGGAGGCACCTTTCTCTGCACCCCCTACTGTGAATGTAAATACAAATTTAAAAGAAAACTGGACTTTCTGCTGCCAAAAGGGAAAGAGACCTGCTATCCTGTCCTGCCTTTTCATAGAGTCTCCTGGGAACCTGTGACCCAGGCCTTTTCTGTCCCTTCAGGGTGCATCAAATTTTTCCAGCCCAGGATTGTTTTTCTTGTCCACATGTCACCAGGGGAGTCTGCCCGGGCATCTGGTAACTACGTGGCCAGGTGGAGTCTGGGTGGGCTAGGCACGTCCCCTCACCCCTTCGCCTGCGGGCGGGGACCAGTTGAGGACACGTATGTATGTGTGTAACATGAGTAGCCAGCCCAGTCTGCCTGTCCAGGCAGCCTCTGTGCATCATGGGCTGGTTTAATGTTCATTTGATAGTTAAACTTTCCTGCATTTGTAGAGAGGGTTGCTGGGTTGGCAAAAGATTCTATTTGTACCTATTTCCCTGATGTTCCCAGGTACATCAACCTCCCTGCCCTCAAAAACCTGATTCCAGATGTGCCCTCTGCATGCAGTTCAGCGTGGCACTCCCTGTGGAACACCCTGCCAGTCACCATTGCCAGATGCAGCTGAAATTGGGAGATGGCTGAGGAGACCGCCTGCCTGCAGGGCAGGTGGAGACCCGCACCCAGATGCCCGCGCCCGCCCCTGCCTGGCCATGGGCTTCCTGCTACTCCCATCCTGCTCCTTGCCCCACAGGGCACCTTGCAGCCTGCCTGCGAAGCTCTCCCAGAACCCCCATGACTCAAACCCTCCAAGGCTTGTCTGCCTTGGTCCTGTTACCAGACACCTGTGCCCACCACAGCCTTGAGCCCCCAGCTCAGAACACCCTGCAATGAGTGGAGAGGGCACTGACTCCCGACCCTCACTGATGGTGCTCCACCTTAAGGAATCGCCCAGCCCAGCCCAGGGCAGCTTCCTGCCTGCTGCCCGCACATGTGAATGCTGGGCTCCGGGAACCCCTCTGCCTGTGACTTTGGGCAGCTGCTCGCCCTCCCCAGGGCCCCTCCTGTGGCCATCCACGCAAATGCTCCTCCCAGAAGGCCGCCTGGTCACTCATTCAGGGACACAACAGCCCCTACCCGCACATGATGTGGTCAGCACGCGCTCCCCAAGCCCCAAGGTCAGCAGCCTGCTCCTCCCCAGAGCTGCTGCTGACAGGCTGAGGGGTGGGCCTGGGCATGACCCAGGGCACCAGCTTCCACTCCCTCCGCCACACATGCGGGTTGTGGCCCTGGACCTCAGAGTGAAACCCGGCGGGCGGCCCTTGGTAATATTCAGCCCCAGGAGCTGTGTGAGGAGCCCTTCGAAGGCACCCCAAAGGCAGCCAGTGCCTGCACTGCCGAAGCCGGCTGTCTCCCCTCTCCAGGAGCGTTCTCCAGCGGTGCCCTCACGATGACCCTTCAAGGGGTCCTCCGACCCATTTACAGACAAAGGAATGGAGGCTTAGGGGCACACTGCTTCCCCAATACCTTTAAAATTTTCTTATTGAGGTATAACTCACGCTTTAAAATTCACTCCTTGAAAGCATGCAATTCAGCAGTTCTTATTCACAGTTGGACAACTGTTAGCCAGAAAAATAGACATGAGTGGGTGGAATGAGAGTAAAGCCAGTAAAGTGCCCTAAAAGGGACTCAAAGAGTTAACAGGTAGGAGCAGAGGGCCGGGAAGGACTCACAGAGTTAATGAGTTCATTAGTTGTAGTTTCAAAGGCTAGGAGTTACCTGGAATGTCCAGATACTCCCCAGATAAAGACAAGTATCTGAGTGCAGCCCATGTCTTCATTGCACCATTAGGTCAGGCCATTGTAAAACCCACTTAGCCTGTGAAAAAGGCCCAGCTTATTCTTTAACTTAACCTATATGCTATTTTTACCTCTTCTTCCAGCACCATAATCAGCTAACTTTGTAACAGGGCCAGGAGACAGACCTCCAGAAGTGTAGATGAACCCATGTGGACCAAGGAATGCTGAGACCCAGACCAACACAGCCCCCTAAATGACCCTGTTCTTAAGATGAAATTTCAAAGGAATGACAAATCGCCTGTATACGTCATGCCTTCTGCTAACCCTTACCCAAAAAGCCCTATAAAATCCCTAGACCCCAAACCCTCAAGTGCGCCTCCTCTCTGAGGTTGCCCACACTCCCCTTTCTTCGAGTGTGTCACTCTCTCTGTTTTACTCTAGACAAGCAGTGAGAGGCCACTGAGGTCTCTGACTTGGGCTGGCAAGTTCCCGCCGCCTGGGAGACCAGACAGGACTGCAGCCCTAAGATCACGCTCTTTAGCAGCCTGCCCGAAATCTATCTTTGCCCTTGGGAAGCCCTCAGCGCGTAACATCACTCCACCCGGTGCTCTGCTGCTCCCCGGGGTTCCCGGGCTGGTGGGGCTTAGTTCCCGCGCTGTGCAGGTTCAATCGGGCACTGGACGCCAAATGCCACTGGCTTTGGGAGTTGGCAGGGGTGCGCCCTGTGCTGAGTAGGAGTTTACTGATCTTCCCTGTCTTCCTCCTGTTTTTCCTTCCTCTGCTTTACTCAAATAAACCTGCCTTTGTCCACCCTGACTCTGGCCCATTGCTCCCTTAGAGTGGATTCAAATAAAACTTTAACTCCGCTTCACTGCTGTGTCTCTGCCTTTCAGCTCTTTTTTGAGGTGGGGACAAGAACCAGGAAAACAAACTCAGCCCCCACCAAAGTCAGATCCCCAACCATTTTCACCACCAAAAACCAAGACTCTGCATCCATTAGCAGCCGCTTGAAATTCTCTGCCCTGCTGCTGCCCTGGCATACACTGATCTATGTTAGGTGCCTAAGGATCTATGTATTCTGGACACTTTGTGTAAGCTTAATCACATAGTGTGTGGTCTTTTGTGTCTGGTTTCACTCAGGATAATGTTCTCAGGGTCCATCTGTGCATGTGCCAGAACTTCACCCCTATTTACAGCTGTGTAACCTCCCACTGTGTGGCTACTCCACATCGTGTTTATCTGCTCACCTTCTGACAGGACTTCAGGCCATCTCCACCTTTTAGCTATTATGAATGCTGCTGCTGTGAACATCCATATAAAAAGTTTTGTGTGTACAAATGTTTTCAGTTCTTTTGGACATATACCCGGGTATGTATTGCTGGGAAATATTGTAAATATTTGTCATCTTTGGGGAACTTCCAGTTTTCACAGTGGTGATGTATATGGGTTCCAGTTTCCCCACCTTCTCTTCGGCACTTGTCACTGTCCATCTTTTTTATTCTAGCCATTCTAGTGGGTGTGACGTGGTATCTGATTTGGATTTTGCTGATGACTGAAGATAAGATCTTTTTCTGTGCTTACTGGTCATTTATGTCTTCTCTGGGGAAAAGTCTATTCAAATTCTTTGCCATTTTTAGTTGGTTGTTTTCCGTTTTACCGTTGAGTTGTAGAACTTCTTATATATTTTGGATACTGTTCCCTTATCAGATGCATGATTTACAAATATTTTCTCTCATTCTATGGGTTGACTTTTCACTTTCTTGAAATGTGCTCCATTGAAACACAAAAGATTTCCTTTTATAAAGTACAGTGTATGCTTCTTCTCCTGTTGCTCATGCTTTTGTCTCACATCTAAGAATTTATTGCCAAATCCAAGGTCATAAGATTTGTCTCTGTTTTCTTCTGAGAGTTTCATGGTTTTAGCTCTTTCAGATCTTCTAAGTCTTTGATCCATTCTGAGTTAATTTACATATGTGGTATGAGGCCCAACTTGATTCCGCTGCATGTCCCAGGACCAGTTGTTGCAAAGACTACTTTCTCCCTGAATGTCTTGGTGCCTTGCTGCCCATGAAACCTGCAATTGTGTGGGTTTATTTTTAGACTCTCAGTTCCATCTCACCAATGTGTATGTCTGTCCTCATGACTACTACACTGCCTTAATTATTGTCACTTTATAGTACGTTTCAAAATTGGGAAGTGTGAGCCCTCCAATTTTGTTCTCCTTTATCAAGATTGTTTTGCATATTCTGGATCCCTGGCATATGCATTTTAGAATCAGCTGGTCAATTTCCACAAAGAAGCCAGCTGAAATTTTGAAAGGGACTGCATGGAAATTTGTAGGACATTTTGGGGAGTTCTGCCATATCAACATACAAAGTCTTCAAATCCACGAACACAAGATGCTTTTCCATACGGTCTGGCCTTCCCTCATCCATTCCCACGTTCCGCGGTTTCCAGCACGCTCCTTCCCTAGGGACCTTGCAAGGCTGCAGGCGCCACCCAGGAATTAAAACTGAGAACCAAACAGCACACAGTAACGTGCTCAGGCAGATGGCGGGCAGGATGCAAACTCCCTTCCACATTAAGACATTAGAGAGCAGTCAGTCTCTCTCCCTGCCTGCCTCTGTCTTTAAAGCACAAATTGGGTGACAGAAACAAGCTATGCCTGAGATGTCCTAGAAATCGTTTCTAGTCCAACTTGGGCCTTCCAAGATCCAGTCAAAAATCTATTCTTCAAAGAAAAAAATTCAGTAAAATTGATAAACCTCTAGCAGATCTAATAGGGAAAAAGAGCAAGAAGACAAACATTACCACTCTCAGAAATTACAGACAGCATCACCACAGTTCCTAAAGACATTAAAAGGATAATAACAGATTCTTAGGAACAGCTTTGCACTAATACATTTGACAACTTAGATGAAATGTACCAACTCCTTAAAAGACACAAAAGCTCACTTTTGTGTGTGAACTACCAAAGCTCACTCAACAAGAAACAGATCATTTAAATAGCCTCATACCAGCTGAGGAAACTGAATCTGTGTGTGGAGGGACGACATTACTTCAAAGAAAATTCAAGGCTAAGTTGGTTTCAGTGGGGAATTTTCTCAAACATCTAAGGAATAAACAATGCCGAGTCTATGCAAACGCTCCTAGATTGCAGATGGGACACTTTCTGTCTCATTCACAGAGGTCACTGACCTGATACCAGAACAGGAAAATGACATTGCAAGAAAACTATAGACCAGTATCTCTCACAGACAGCAAACCTGTTTAACAAAAATTCAGCAAATAAAATCTAATAGTCCAAAAAAGGATGTACCATCATGACCAACTGGGGTTTCTCTCAGGAATTCAAGTTTGGTTTACAATTCAAAAATCAGTCAATGCATTTTGTTGCCCTTGTCTACCTTGGATTAATACTTAGTCTATAGGCACACACCTGATCATCTACATTTGCCCTCTTACAGCACTAAACTATGTTTTCTACCTTTATCTTGCATCTACCTACCACTTCCGCATTTTATTTTTAAAAAATAATAACAATAATAATAAGAAGAAGAAATGTGGGATTCACATATAAATCAAGTATAAAAATCAAACGAATAATCATATTTGACCTGATTGTTTATAGTTCATGATGTGTGATCAAAACCGAAAGTTTCTGTGATGACTGCCCTTGCACTGTTCACCATGTGAGAACTTATTCACTATGTAAGAACTTGTTCACCATGTAAAAACTTGTTTGTTATGCTTCAGAAGATTGGAGACTGTTGAGAATTAGGCTTGGGGTTGATTAATGATTGTGCATTGAGTCCCCTATACAGAATTTTATTGTTGTTAGCAACCATATGATCAATAAATATGAGAGATGCCCTCTCAAAAAAAAAAATCAGTCAGTGTAATTTGCCATGTCAAAAGAAACAGAATACAAATGAAAGCAGACTGGGCATTAAAGGAAACTCCCTCAACCTGATGATGGACATTGGTAAAACCCTAATGATACTCTTGGAAGTCAATTGTAGGAAGATAAGCAACTTTTTTTTTAATGGGCAAGACTTGAACCGGCACAGCCCCAGATCATGGACTCCCTCTGCTGGGAGAACAAGGCACTGTGCCCGCCACCCCTAGTGCCCCTCCCCGCTGCAGACCACCACCCCCCGTGCCAGCCCGCACCTGCCCCTTGCCGTTCCTACCATTCAGGTAGTAGCTGCTCCTGGTCCTGTCCCCAGTGCGCAGGCTGCTCTCCGAGAAGCACACCTCCTTGGGTCGGACCATCTCCCTGGGCTCCAGCAGGGTCTTGTCCATCAGCGAGTCCTGCCAGGGGCTCAGCTATGGGAAGAGCCTCCTGTCGGGGCTGCGGGGCACATGCAGCTCAGGGTTGCTGAGGAAAACCTTGAAGGGCACCTGGGAGGCTTCATCCTCCCTGGAGAGGGGTGCGTGCGAGCACAGCAGGTCCTCTGGGGAGGATGGCAGCAGCTGGGAGGACGCCTCAGGGATGCTGGCGAGCCCTGCAAAGTCCGGAACTGGGAAAGGAAAGGAAGAAGTCAGGTCCATGATCCTGCCGCCTCCCGAGAAGGCGGAGAGCACTAGACCGATGGCCAGCCGCTGCAGGGCACCCCCACCAAGGCCACCGGCCCTGCGCATGGGCTCGGTGGGCGTGTGCCTCCACACACGGCAGGTGGGCTTTCACACACTCTGTAAATCTTACATAGAGACATACACACATTTTTTTCTGTGACATACCTTTCTGCCACAGCATTATCTTTTTTGACATTTACCCACATTGATAAATCTCAGTGACTTTTTTATCCATCGTGCTGTTAGCAGGCATGGGGCTATTGCCAGGTTGCCTTGAAAAAGTGGAGCTGTGACCAGCATGCCTGAATGTGCCCCTTGCTCAGTGGCACCCTCTGCAGTCCACACCGAGGCTCAGGTGTGTGCCTGTTTAAGTGTCCTTGCTTTCCACAGCCCTGGTCCCCCAGGGCTTCTTGTCCTTGGGATGCACAGTGGTGCCAATGGTGTCACCTAATTGCCAGTGACCCCGACGTCTTCCCGTGTGTCCACTGCCCTCTGCAGTTTCCTTTCCTCACCTGTTCTCTCTGCTGCAGCCGTCTTTCACCATCACTCGCAGCAGGTCCTCACGTATTCTGCATGTTAATTCCTTGTTCATGAAATGCATTGCAAACTGCTTGCATTTTAAACTTTTTTATGGTGACTCTTGTCATGCAAAATTTTACAAATTTTATCAAATTTCACTTATCAATCTTTTGGATTTATATAATCTTTTTAATGAATTTGTTCTTCTAGCAATAAAGCAAATATATATTTGAGAAATAGTGTTGTGCTATATTGAAAAATTGTATTCTAAACTGTGCCTCCTTAGGAACCAACCAACCTCCCCAGCAATGTCTTCCAGAAAAAAAACGTGCAAAAGAAACAGTGTCATCAGTACACGTCCTGCTTCTGTCTGCCTGGCAGCCAACGGCTAGTCCTAGAAGTCCCGCCCTGGGCCTCACAGCCTCAAGCCAGCTGTCCGTTCGGCCCAGAATCTCTCAACAGAGCACCCTCTGAGGGCTCACCAAGCAGAGGCATCCCCTCTCCAGGTTCCTCCTGTGCTAGGGACATAGGCACACAGAGGCAGAGGTGTCCCAGTGGGGGATGGGGCCGGATCACCCACCTGGGGGCCCAGGAGCAGAGCGACACCTGTCACCAGGTGTAAAGGGATCTACATGGTCAGGAGGCATGGGCTTTGTTCTGCTTCTATTCAGTGAATCGTAATTCTCTTCATTTACTCCCAAATCTACACCCAGTTGTGTTAAACATTAAAAAGAGTTGTTTTGATCCTCAGTTGAGTACGTATATTTCCAGGCTGCATTATAATAAAACCACAAATGAATAAACAAGAGTCAAGAGAAAATTCCCATTTCCTCATAATTAAAGCATTCATTTAAGTAATGATTAGATCAAGGAAGAAGCGAAAACAGGAAAAAGTGATAATTGAGAAATAATGAAAATTAGAACAAGGATCTTTGGACATCAGTACATTTAAGACTGTATTTAGAATGAAAATTTTAACTTTAATGTTTTCATTACATTTCAAAAATTACTGAAATACTGAACATTCAAATCAAAATACGGGGAGGAACACTTAAGAAAAGCAAACGTTAGTAAATAATGAAAATGACAGAAAAAAATAAACTAGAAACAATTGTATGGGAAATCTAGTAAGATTGCAAACTGCAGAAAGGTGCTTCTGAGAAATAGAAAACAAAAGAATAAACCGGGACTCGGAACGAACATAAGAATGGACAGGAAGATAGAAGATAAAAGTTTGATTCACAAAAGACTATCATACACAATGCTTATTTCCCAGAAAGTTCAGTGAAAGGACAGGTCCTCTGGGAAATTATTTTTAAATGACTCAAAAAGCCAAAAATCTAAGGGGAACAATAAGCCCAGAAGGCAGTCGTAGCAGCTCTGAAGCCGTCCTGCTCCCGAGGGCGGCAGCTCTTCATGGGTGACGCTTTCCCACTCCCCATAAAGGGTTTCTGTGTCACACAGAGGCTGGAACTCTGGGGTAATTAAAGGGTGCTGAATTAAGGTTACAAGTTTGTCACAACTCTGGTATCAATTTTCTGCAAAGGTAACCCCCAGAAAGAAAATGGCAGCCCAGACCCACGTGGGCACAGAGGTCAGGGTCCTCAGGGCAGTCCCCCAAATGCAGACAGCGTGAGGCAGGACCACGAGCCTGGGGGAGCAGCGTGACAGCTACCCACCACCACCGCTGCCCCCAGGCCAGCCATGGGTGCACCGAGGGCACCCCCAGTGATGCCAAAACAAGGTCAGAAAGATTGAACAGAAGGAGCTGTTTCTCAATTTTATTTGTTCTTTAAAAAGGAGTAGAAGGGCTCTCTGCAGATCCCACCCAGCTCTGCCACGGCCATCTGTAAATCGCGCACCACAGACTCAGCAGGCAGAACACACTGAGAAACTTGAGTGGACTGCAGCTGTCATGCAGCTATGCACAGGATGGATACTACAAAACGGCAGCTTTCCAACATGCACCAGCACCGATGATTGGAGATGCAGTGGAGAAGCAGATCACATCATCATGGCAGCAAAATAATGAAGCGGTCGGGGAATAAACCGAGCAGCAAATGTGAGAGGTCTGCAAGTGAGACCTGACAAAGGAGCGCCCGGGCCCGTGCGGCCACCATGGCTGAGACAGCCTCTGTAGGGCAGAAGAGGGACAGGTACGAGCACCGCAGGACACGCGGGAAGGCGAGGAGGCGGGGTGGTCAGCAGTGCCCAGCCCACCCTATCGCCTGGCGCTGCACCCGGAACGAGGAGCAGTGAGCACTCAGGTAGGGATGGCTCGGGCTCGGCGCTGCATCCCAGCCCTCTCCAGGACCAGAGCAGCCCGGAGGACGTGCAGCAGCGCCAGCCGGGAAGGAACCCAGGTGGCTGACTGCCGCTCCCTCTGGGCCACTTCAAAGTGCTGAGAGCAGCCTGAGAAACAGCCCCACAGTGACAGGCAGTTTGACAGGCGCTTCACAGGACCCGCTGGGCTGTCCCAGCCTGGTGGGATGGCGTGGGTGGCCACCATCTCCAGGGGACGCCAAGCTTCTGTGGCCGCAGGGTTCCCAGGCGGAGCTCCATTCACTGACCACCCCTGAACCACTCAAAGACCACGACCACACCCAACAACTGTGCCCTGAATCAGACTTTCTTCACGAAAATGTTTAAAACAGAATGAACTACATTGGCAGAAAGTGACCAAAGCCTGCTTCTTTTGTAGAAAGCCATAACTTTGGAGTGGATCCTACATAGTGGGCAGGATCACGGCTCCACACCCACTTCCCCCAGGGGCCTCCTGCCCTGGGCTTGGCCACCAGCTGGCTTGGTGGACGGCATGGGAGGTTCAGCAGAGGCCCAAAGCAAGCGTGGTTGGCACATGTATGGCCACTGGGAGCCGAACATGTTGGGCACAGCCTGTGGCCCCGGAGGAGGAGGTCTGCAGTCCCGCCTGACTACCCGCTGGCCTCTGAGGGTACGTGGTCCCCTTCCATGGCCACCGCTGAGCCCCCATCCCCAGGTGTGGGCTGGTGCAGGCCTTCCCCGAGGACATGGCTTGGGCCATACGGCAGCCAGCCGGCGTGGGGCTCACCTGTGCTCCCGGGGGAGCGGTCCTCCAGGTGGGCAGGCGCCCTAGGAAGGAGGTGGCTGTGGTCCTGGCAGGTCTCCCTGACTGAGCAGGCACTTCAGCATCTGGTTCTCCTTCATGAGGCACACCTGCTTCTTCAGGTCGGCATTCTTGCTCACGAGCCGGCTCATCAGCTCGCTGCCCTCCACCATGGCCATGCTCAGGGCTCATGCCTGGGCCTCTGGCCCCATGGGGGTGGAAGTCCAAGCCACACACATGGGGGGCAGCCCAGGCCCCGAGTTCCAGCTGCCTGCCTTCTGCAGCCTTGTGAGGTCACCCTTAAAGAGACAGCCCCAGCTGCATGCTGGGGCCTCCCACCCACCACGGCACGTGGCCAGCTCCACGACAGGTGAGCACCAGGGAACAGATAGGGCCATGAGAAGAGGGCAAGGTGCCCAGACCCCTTTGGAGGGTGGCCTGGCAGAGGGACCAGCATGCTTTAAGGCCTGGACAGGATGTTCAGACATCCTAGGAACAGGCAGAATGCGGGGCCCCAGGGATATTGGGCCAATCGCCCTGTGTGGAGTCTGCAGGCTCTGGTGGGGTCTCTGCCCTCTACCCAATGTGTGCAGACCCCACCCTTGTGAGCCGTCAGCTCTCTGGGCGCTCAAGCATGGCCCAGAGGGCTTCCTGTCCCTGGGGCAGCAGAGTTCGAAGCAGGCCAGGTGGACCCTAGAAGCTGGCAGGTGTCCAGTGTACACACGCTTATGAGCATGTGCCCATGCATCACGGCCTAGAGGAAGGAAGGGCAGAGAGAGCAGAGAATGGGGAGCCCCTTCGGTGGGCTCTGAAGGGGCTGGCAGTTGAAGGCGGCCTGCAGCCCACATCCCCTCATGAGAAGTGTCCAGGCGACCAGCAGCATCCCCGTGCAGACATGAGCACTGGGTGTCTGGGACACCGGCCATTACTAGACCTAAGGGAAGACCCCTGGCCAGGGAACAAGGGCTGTGTGGACCAATCACGCATACGCACGGGTGGTTCATGGAGTCTTGCCAGCCTCCATGAGTTGCTTTCTGTGGACATGGAGCCTGAAGTTGCAGTTTCCCCTTTCAGGCTTCCAAGCTGTGGTTGCAGTCTTCAGCTTGCATTGCTCCCCATGAGAAATCAGCTGCCCCCGTATATTTGTTCCCCTGCATGGCCTGTTTTTGCTTGTCACTGGTTTTGTCAACTTGACTTCATGTGCCTCAGAGTAGCTGTTGGCCATGTCTGTAGCTGTCGTGTGGGCTCAAACATCTCACGGCTGGAAAAATTTTGGCCATTACTTATTTTTCTGCCTCCCTCCCGCTTTTCAGACTGATAATACATTTGTTAGACTACTCGATACTGGTCAACAGGCCACTTAAGTTCTGGGGGAGGTTTATTTTGAGAGAACGAGCTACATTTTCTGGCCACCCAGAGGCTGTTTCAGCACTCGCCTTGTCCTGGGTGGTCCAAGGGCAGGCCCTGCTGCTCCACCACAAGAGCCAAGGTGGGGCATCAGGGGACCTAGGGCCTCAGGTTGTCTCATACCTGTAAGGCCTGGCTGTGGAGCAAGTGTCTGGAGCTGCCTAAACCGTTCAAACTAGCTGAGCACTTACGTCAAGCAGGGGTCTCAAATACCCCTGGAGCACCGCTGTCTACTGAGGAAGTCTGGAAACAGTGGTTGTCATGTAGACACCAGTGGCTGCAGTATTCTCACAAAATAGAACTAGTATCTGAAGTTATCCTCCCAACAGGCAGGTGAGGTGGCACCAGAAATCCCAAGTTAAAGGCCAGGCACAGCCACAGCCCTAAGAACTGCTGCCCGGCACTCCTGGCACATGTGCACAGCTGGCCAGCGCTGCACCCGCAGCCTCCTGCCCCCAGGCACGGTACTGCTCCTGAGGGACTCAGCTGGACCTGAACAACCTGCAGGAGACACCGTGAGGAGCGGCCCAGATGGCCCCCGTGCTGAGACCCAACCCCACCACCAGTGTGACACGTGTCTCCTCAGCGGCAGGGGTCTTGTCTTACTGAGTTTGCTCTCCGGCCACCTCCTGCAGGGTGAGTGCCGCAGCTGGAGGCCAGCGGGAACAGACCAGTCAGACCCCTGCACCCCACAAGCATCTGGGGGGCTCCCATCCCCCCATTCACAACTGACTTCTCACCCTTATTCCCCTTCCCCTCATGTTTCTAACCTTACAAAGGAGAATTAACTCAGAGAGATGGAAACAACTGAAAGTTGACCAATTAACCTGTAATTATATTTGCTGAGATGAGGGGAGAGAAAGCAATAGAGGCATTAGGTCTTAAAATATCTTTATTGTCTAAGACAAACCTGTGGAGCAGTATTGATTATGTTCAGTAAGGAAAAGTATTTTTTTTGAGAGGAGTTTTCCCTGTGACTTCAGCATTCCCAGCTAGAGATTCACAAGAGGAAGGCCCTGCCATTTCCAGACGGTCACACGGGAGCCCCAGGAGAACGGCCAGTACAGCCGGCGGCACCCGGGATCCGGGACTCCCCAGCGATTCACTTGACTTCTGGTCCAGCCAAGGCCAATCACTTCCCCCCCAGGAGGTGCATGCTGCCCATCTGCAAGCAGCTCCTCTGGTTTCCTGACCTGAAGGGGGGCTCCCCCAGCGTCCAACATGGTGCACAGCAGCTGCCTCAGAGAACCCCAGATGCGGCTGCCCCCGGGATGACCAAATGCAGCAGGAGCTGCTTTGGCCCATGGGAACCACATCTGCTACAGCGGCAGGTCATCTCAGTGAAACGATTTAACATTTCCAGCATATAGATGGGTTTTCATCCCTCCTGGTTTGTTTCTGGACTTAAACTGGGAGCCTGACTGGGGCAGCGGCCACTGCAAGGAGCAGGCTGTGGAAAATCACTGTGCTGTGGCCCCAGCTGGTTGAGAATCAGGGCTAAGAAAAGAAGGGCGAGAGCAAACCGCACAGGCTTCACAGGGACCCCAGCGCAGTCCCCTCAGCCTAAACAGGACCATTTAAGTGTGGTGTCGGTGCTCAGGTACCCGCCGAGCAGCTGCTGCACTTCCTGCTGGCTCAGAGTTGGGGGAGCACCACCCTTGGGCAGGTCCGCGGAGGGGCAGCGCAGGCAAGGCCCCAAAGCAGGTGAGCCCCAGGTGGAGTTGGGCAGTGAGCAGGGGCCACAGGAGCTGCAGGGGCAAAGCCACAGCCAGGGCCCTGAGGGGTGTCGGGCAGTGGGCATCCAGACATCTCTCGGCTGTCTGTCTGAGGGAGCGTGGGGAGGTCAGCAAGGGAGGGTGCACAGTAAGAGCAGGCAGAGGTGCCCAGGGGCAATGCCAGGCCTGGGTTGTCCTCTCCTCAGAGCTCCCGGGGGCCCCTCACAGCCACACTCCCAGGGAAGCTTGGGTACATGGGTACTCGTCTTCGTGGGTTAAACCCAGGACCCAGCTTTTCCACCTTGAGCTCCAAATCCATGCTTGCCAAACCAGACAGGGTTGGAAACCAGAGGGGAAATCAGAGGTCTGCCCCTCAAGAGGCATTAACCTGGAAATCTGGCCAGGCTTCAGCTCAGGACACAACCTAGGGTGTGAGGGCTGGACGCAGCTGGAAGGATGCCCCGGGGCATCCCGCCTGACTCGCTACAGTGGGTGGGGAGTAGCAGGCTGGGCGCACAGCTGTCCCCACACAGCAGTGCCCCATGATGTGGACCACTGAGCCACTGACGACCCCCGCCCTGTGTTAGGCTTGCTACTCACAAGAACAGGGGACGCCAGCACCCCACCTACTGGGTGAACCACAAAACGGCTTGGGTGGGGTCGAGACCTGGGGTGGGGACAGTGTGCCGTGTCTGGCTCCCCTCTGTGTGGCCATAGGACACTTCCCAGTCTGGTTCCCACTGCTGGCTGAGCCCTGGTGGCCAGTGATAAGGCAGCCAGCCTCTCCCTGCCAGGCATAGGGAGGCCCACGAGTCCTCAGCTGAGCTGACGCGACTGCACCAGGTGGAAACGCGCGAGGCCACTGCTCCCCTCCCAACAACTGTCTGCCAGTGGAGGAAGCCCTCCCAGCCCTACAGCAGATACACACCATGCCCTGCACTACAAACCCCACAGAACACACTGTGCCTTCCCCAAGCACCTTCCCCACCCATACTGGACGAGTTAGTCTCAGAACTAAGCCTACCCTGAAGGTCTGCTGTCTGCAAGTGGGCGGCCTGGCCTAGCATGGCACACGTGTGGCAGCCCCATACTGGCCAGGCACCCACATGTGCTCTCAGGGGCAGCCAGCGAGGACGCTCTCAGGGTGCAGGCAGGAGAAGCGGCCAAGGGTCCAGATGGGGAAGATGTTCCTGTAGTTGTCGTAGTTGATTGCACAGGACTTATTGAAGACCCCACTGTTGCTGTGCTGTAGGGATGGGGGATAAATACAAGCGCCATCAGCAAGGGGCTCCCTGAACAGAGACCCTGGCCAAGGGCTGGCCAACTTGCAGGGTGTCAACACGAGAGCCTGAGCAGGTGGCCACCACCCCAGCTCCGGGCCCTGGCCCTGCAGTAAACTGTAGCCAGTCACCAGCCCCTTAGTGTGTCAACCCCAGAGGAGGCTCACGAAGGGGAGGGGGCCAACCTCACGCAACTTTGTGACCCCCACATGCAGGGATGAGGGATGGGTGGAGGCTGCCTCCTACGCTTGGGCAGAGCCGGAGGCGTCCTGGACACAGGATCCTCCCTGTCTAGCAACCCACTCCCAGCACCTCAACCTGTCCTCCGAGCCAGCACTCCCTTTGTGAACGTCAAAATCCCCAGGTCTGTGTCCAACAAGGACCCTCGCCAGTGGTGTCCATGAAGCCCCGCCCATGACGGACACGCAGGGTGGGGAGCAACAAGGCCGATGCTGGGCTGCACCTCTTGGTTGCCATAGCCTACCTGGGGCCAGTTGCCATTGGGGAGCTGTCTGTCCAGCAGACATCTGACTCCTCTCTCCAGGGCCGCCAGGCCAGGGTGCCTGGGGAGAGGGGTGTGGGGCCCCCCATCACCATCCCACATGAGACTGCCAGCACACAGCCACATAGGGCAAAGGTGAGGCTGCGCGTGACGGCTAACAACCTGGGCCAGCACCCGGAGAAGTGATGGCAGCATGTGGGGTGACAAGCCAAGTGGCCTGCCCTGCGGAAAGAAGGTCACATGGCATGCCCCCTGCCTCCTCAGGGCCCTCTGAGGGCCACAGAGGCCTGGATGCTCCCCCGGGCAAAGGGGCGGGACTCCAGAAGGGCCCGGTTTGGCCGTGGGAGGCAGACCGAGGCTGGTGTCCAGATGCTGCTGCTCCTGGACTGGCTTTGAGGGGCTTTAGGAGGCTGCCCACGGAGCTGCACACCTGGGGCACAGTGTGGACACAGCCCCCGGAGAGCAGCTGTAGATGCTGCCGCACAGCCTGGCTGCCCTGTCCACACGGGCCGCCCTCTTCTGTGCAGGAGCCCCTGGTGGGAGCCTGCTTCTCTGGACGGACCTCCCACCGTACCCAGAACCTGCCAGTCAGGTCCCCAGGCCTGGCACCCCAGCCCTGCCCTCAGAGCACAGCCGCCCAGACACTGTTCCAAGCCCTGTGGGAAGGCAGGCCTGTCGCCCCCACCTGACAGCCATCAGCCCCATAAGGGCCCAGCAGGTGCTGTGGATCTCAGACTGGGTGCTCTGCACATAGCGCCGCTGCTTGCAGGACTCAAAGTCCTCCCCCCAGCCTCCGTCCGCCATCTGCCGGGACAGCAGGAAGCTGCAGGCCTGGGAGACTTCCACACAGGCGGCCCTGTGGAGACCAGCGAGGCACGTCGTGGGGGCAGGCCCAGGCCCAAACTGCTCGCCTCGGCTGGGCCTCAGGGTCATGGGGTAGGCACGTGGGGGCAGCCTGCTCCTGCCACCGCAGGAGGTGGGGGGATGGAGGCACCTGCTCCCAGGCCGTTGGGATAATGGCAGTGCTTTGTAGCCACAGGTGCCACACTGCCCTGAGCCTTCAACACCACCCAGCAAGGCAGAGCTGATCCACAAGGGAGGAGACAGCCCGGCAGAGCGCCCTGCTGCCAGAACCCTCCCGCCAGAGGGCAAATATCACACTCACCCTTCTCGGTAAGTGTGCCCCATGCAGGCGAGAGCTTCCAGCCCAAACCAGGTGCCGTAGGTGAAGCAAACCCCCCAGGATCTGGAGGAAGACAAGGGGACCCAGCCCCTCAGGCCTTGTATGAAACAGGCAACACTCCCAGGGAAGCTTGGGTACATGGGTACTCGTCTTCGTGGGTTAAACCCAGGACCCAGCTTTTCCACCTTGAGCTCCAAATCCATGCTTGCCAAACCAGACAGGGTTGGAAACCAGAGGGGAAATCAGAGGTCTGCCCCTCAAGAGGCATTAACCTGGAAATCTGGCCAGGCTTCAGCTCAGGACACAACCTAGGGTGTGAGGGCTGGACGCAGCTGGAAGGATGCCCCGGGGCATCCCGCCTGACTCGCTACAGTGGGTGGGGAGTAGCAGGCTGGGCGCACAGCTGTCCCCACACAGCAGTGCCCCATGATGTGGACCACTGAGCCACTGACGACCCCCGCCCTGTGTTAGGCTTGCTACTCACAAGAACAGGGGACGCCAGCACCCCACCTACTGGGTGAACCACAAAACGGCTTGGGTGGGGTCGAGACCTGGGGTGGGGACAGTGTGCCGTGTCTGGCTCCCCTCTGTGTGGCCATAGGACACTTCCCAGTCTGGTTCCCACTGCTGGCTGAGCCCTGGTGGCCAGTGATAAGGCAGCCAGCCTCTCCCTGCCAGGCATAGGGAGGCCCACGAGTCCTCAGCTGAGCTGACGCGACTGCACCAGGTGGAAACGCGCGAGGCCACTGCTCCCCTCCCAACAACTGTCTGCCAGTGGAGGAAGCCCTCCCAGCCCTACAGCAGATACACACCATGCCCTGCACTACAAACCCCACAGAACACACTGTGCCTTCCCCAAGCACCTTCCCCACCCATACTGGACGAGTTAGTCTCAGAACTAAGCCTACCCTGAAGGTCTGCTGTCTGCAAGTGGGCGGCCTGGCCTAGCATGGCACACGTGTGGCAGCCCCATACTGGCCAGGCACCCACATGTGCTCTCAGGGGCAGCCAGCGAGGACGCTCTCAGGGTGCAGGCAGGAGAAGCGGCCAAGGGTCCAGATGGGGAAGATGTTCCTGTAGTTGTCGTAGTTGATTGCACAGGACTTATTGAAGACCCCACTGTTGCTGTGCTGTAGGGATGGGGGATAAATACAAGCGCCATCAGCAAGGGGCTCCCTGAACAGAGACCCTGGCCAAGGGCTGGCCAACTTGCAGGGTGTCAACAGGAGAGCCTGAGCAGGTGGCCACCACCCCAGCTCCGGGCCCTGGCCCTGCAGTAAACTGTAGCCAGTCACCAGCCCCTTAGTGTGTCAACCCCAGAGGAGGCTCACGAAGGGGAGGGGGCCAACCTCACGCAACTTTGTGACCCCCACATGCAGGGATGAGGGATGGGTGGAGGCTGCCTCCTACGCTTGGGCAGAGCCGGAGGCGTCCTGGACACAGGATCCTCCCTGTCTAGCAACCCACTCCCAGCACCTCAACCTGTCCTCCGAGCCAGCACTCCCTTTGTGAACGTCAAAATCCCCAGGTCTGTGTCCAACAAGGACCCTCGCCAGTGGTGTCCATGAAGCCCTGCCCATGACGGACACGCAGGGTGGGGAGCAACAAGGCCGATGCTGGGCTGCACCTCTTGGTTGCCATAGCCTACCTGGGGCCAGTTGCCATTGGGGAGCTGTCTGTCCAGCAGACATCTGACTCCTCTCTCCAGGGCCGCCAGGCCAGGGTGCCTGGGGAGAGGGGTGTGGGGCCCCCCATCACCATCCCACATGAGACTGCCAGCACACAGCCACATAGGGCAAAGGTGAGGCTGCGCGTGACGGCTAACAACCTGGGCCAGCACCCGGAGAAGTGATGGCAGCATGTGGGGTGACAAGCCAAGTGGCCTGCCCTGCGGAAAGAAGGTCACATGGCATGCCCCCTGCCTCCTCAGGGCCCTCTGAGGGCCACAGAGGCCTGGATGCTCCCCCGGGCAAAGGGGCGGGACTCCAGAAGGGCCCGGTTTGGCCGTGGGAGGCAGACCGAGGCTGGTGTCCAGATGCTGCTGCTCCTGGACTGGCTTTGAGGGGCTTTAGGAGGCTGCCCACGGAGCTGCACACCTGGGGCACAGTGTGGACACAGCCCCCGGAGAGCAGCTGTAGATGCTGCCGCACAGCCTGGCTGCCCTGTCCACACGGGCCGCCCTCTTCTGTGCAGGAGCCCCTGGTGGGAGCCTGCTTCTCTGGACGGACCTCCCACCGTACCCAGAACCTGCCAGTCAGGTCCCCAGGCCTGGCACCCCAGCCCTGCCCTCAGAGCACAGCCGCCCAGACACTGTTCCAAGCCCTGTGGGAAGGCAGGCCTGTCGCCCCCACCTGACAGCCATCAGCCCCATAAGGGCCCAGCAGGTGCTGTGGATCTCAGACTGGGTGCTCTGCACATAGCGCCGCTGCTTGCAGGACTCAAAGTCCTCCCCCCAGCCTCCGTCCGCCATCTGCCGGGACAGCAGGAAGCTGCAGGCCTGGGAGACTTCCACACAGGCGGCCCTGTGGAGACCAGCGAGGCACGTCGTGGGGGCAGGCCCAGGCCCAAACTGCTCGCCTCGGCTGGGCCTCAGGGTCATGGGGTAGGCACGTGGGGGCAGCCTGCTCCTGCCACCGCAGGAGGTGGGGGGATGGAGGCACCTGCTCCCAGGCCGTTGGGATAATGGCAGTGCTTTGTAGCCACAGGTGCCACACTGCCCTGAGCCTTCAACACCACCCAGCAAGGCAGAGCTGATCCACAAGGGAGGAGACAGCCCGGCAGAGCGCCCTGCTGCCAGAACCCTCCCGCCAGAGGGCAAATATCACACTCACCCTTCTCGGTAAGTGTGCCCCATGCAGGCGAGAGCTTCCAGCCCAAACCAGGTGCCGTAGGTGAAGCAAACCCCCCAGGATCTGGAGGAAGACAAGGGGACCCAGCCCCTCAGGCCTTGTATGAAACAGGCGTGTAAATCGCAGGCAGCTGCCTGGCTTGCCCCGCATGGAGGGATGACACTCCGGTTATTTTCAAAAAACACATGACGTGGCCTCTTCAGCAAAGCCACACCGAGTCCAGGCCTCAGGCTTTAAGGCCAGTCCTGTCTACCTGTTCCTCAGGGCGGCTCACTCTTGGAACACCAAGACAGTCCAGAGCCAGTCCGAGCCCAGAGGGAGGAGGTGAATCACCAGGTTCAGCAAACAAGGCACCAGGCCACGAGCACCGCCCCTCGGCCCAGAGCTCTGCTGCCGGCGGCTACTTCCTAGACTTCTGGGTTGCACAGGACACTGAGCATCCTATGAGCCGAGCGAGAGCACAGTCGGTTGCACGTGTCCACACCGCCGAGGTCACTCACCCTTCCCAGGAGCCATCAGCCCTCTGCTTCCGCCGACAGAAGTCCAGGCCCTCCTTGAGGGTCTCCCTGGAATGCAGGACAACCAAATCAACGTCCCGGCAATACAGCGATTTACCTATCATGTCTCCACCTGTCCTGCGTCTCCAGAGAATGTGTGTGGTCCCCCTTAGGAAGACCTGGGAGAGGGACCAGCTCTGCGGCTGCTGCAGGATGCAGCAGCGGGCACTCTGGCTGCCAGGAAGGAGGGAGGCAGGTGCAGGCTGGCAGGCACGCACCAGAGCAGCTGCACGCAGGACAGTGCCATCACCAACACTGGTAGGACACAGGCTTCAGTAAGTCATGAAGATGTAAAGGGGAAGTAGAAAATGAGAGAGAAAGCGGTAGCTTCCAGGACAAGAAGATTGGACATGAGTCTGTGTGGCTGCGGCCACCGCCTGGCACTCCTCAGCCATGTCTCCATCCCCTTGGGTGTGGAAGGGCCGCATCTACCAGCAGACAGCTGCTGGGCACACAAGACCCCTCTCTCTGCTTCTCTCCCTTGCTGGCCTTTGTGAAGCCACCAGGTAGAGGGGTCTGCATGGCAAGAAGCTAAGGGTGGCATCCAGCCAGTCAGGGAGGAAATGGGCGCTGAGGCTGAGAACCCACGAGGAGGGGAGACCCGACAGCAGCCCACAGGCCTGGAGCAGGCCTTTCCACAGTGGTGCTCAGGAGAGACCCTGGTCCTGCAGCACCTTGACTGCAGCCCAGTGAAGTCCTGAAGCAGAGGGTCTGGCTAAGCTGTGCTGGGACTCCTGACCAACAGGAAATGTGAGCTGATAAATGCATGTTGCTTTGAGCCACCAGATTCTGTAGTAATGTTGTTATTCAGCAACAGGTGACTAATACAGAGGATGAAGCTATGATGTCAGCAAGAAAAAGCATGATGTGACCACAGGTACAGTGAAAATCAAAAAGTTAAGAGAAAAACAAGAAAACTTTATATAGTGAACTTGAAAACAAAATGTACAACTTCCTAGGAAAACTAATTTATTAAAACTGCCTCATGAAGAAGGAGAAAACCTGGCTAGTTAAATAAAGAGGCTGAATAGTCCTATAACTTCTAAAGATATAAGTCAAATATGTAAACTTTACCCAGAAAAAGAACTCCAGGCCTAGAAGTTTTATAAGTGAATTCTACTAATTGCCAAGACAATCCTTCTGATAGTACACAAACTCTTCTAGAGACTAGAAAGAGGAAAAAACACTCCCTAGTCCACTGTAGGGACCCAGCATAAGCTTTCGAACAAGCCAGACAAGAGTGACAAGGTAAAGCAAAATTTTCAGGCTCTTCATTGATGGACACAAAATCTTAGACTGAATACAGTAGAAATATCCTAATATTAAGTTAGGTTTATCCCAGAAATGCAAAGGTGTTTTAATATTAGAAAAATCTACAATAATCATCTACAACGTTAATGGATAAAGGATATAAATATATAATCATTTTGATGGAGATAGAAAAATCATTTGCTAAAATACAACATCCATCACAATGAAGAGAAAAACAACTTAGCAAATTGGGAAAAGACGAGAACTGGTTAACCTGAAAAGGGTAATTACCAAAACCCACAGCAAAGGTCATTCTTCATGGAGAATATGAGAAGCAATCTCACCAGAAAATAAGGAAATACAACAAAGATGCCACAAGCCACTTCCGCTGAGCAGAACACTGGAGGCCTTCGCCTGGGCAGGAAGACAAGAGAAACAGGCCTACAGATTGACAGGAAAAAAATATGTTATTTGCAAGTGGTAGGACTGTCTACAAAGAAAACCCAAAAGAATGTACAATTAATTAGAATACAAAGAGTTGGATTCACTGGTGAATTCCACCAAACCTTTCAGGAAGAAATTATACCAAATCTCTACAGTCTCTTGCAGAGACTAGAAACAGAGGAACACACTGCCAACTCCCGTCTATGAGGACAGCATCACCTGAATACTGAAAGTATATAATTACCAGAAAGGAGATTTACAGACCAGTATCTCTCAGATGCAGATACAGAAATGCTCAACAAGACATTACCAAATTGAATTAAACAATGGATAAAAGAACTATATGCTACAAACAAGTGAAATTTATCTGAGGTATGCAAGGCTGGTTCAACATTCAACAATCAATAGTACATTCTATTAAATCAACAGAAAAATCACATGATCACATCAAAAGCTGCAGAAGTATTTGACAAAATCCAGCACCTACTCATGATAAGTTTCAGCAAACAAGGAATAGAAGGGAAGTTCCTCAACTGATAAAGCTTAGCTACAAAAAACCTACAGCTAATATCACACTTAAAGGTGGGAAATTGGATGCTTTCCAGCTAAAATCATGAACAATGATGTTCCCTCTAACCACTCCTACTCAGTATTATACTGGAAGTCCTAGCTAACGTAGTAGGACAAAAAGAAAATAAAAGGTATACAGACTGGGGAGAAAGAAATAAAACTTTCTTTGTTCACAGATGACATGATTATCTATGTAGAAAATCCCAAAGAATCAATCAAAAAATCTCCTGGAACTATTAATGCGATCATAGCACAGTTGCAGGACACAGGATTAATATTCAAAAGACAACTGTTTTCCTACCAGCAATGAACAAGTAGGTTCTGAAATTAAATTACAATACCAATTAAGTTAGCATCAGAAAAAAGTAAAAACTTAGATACAAATCAAATAAAATATGTGAAAGATTTACAAGAAACCACAAAATTATGAAAGAAATAAAAGTTCTTCCCAATTTGATCTATAGATTCACTGCAATCCCCATTAGAATCTCAGCAAGTTATTTTGTAGATATGGTTTCCAGGGTGTATACAAAAGGCGCAAGGCCCAGGATGGCCAGCAGAGTACTGAAGGAGGGCAGACCAGAGGCTCACACTGCCCGACTCCCAGACTTCCTGTAACATCCACAGCAATCAGGACAGTGTGGTGACGCTGAGAGAATACAGGCTGACAAACTAGGAGCACAGACACTGACCCGTCAAGCGACTGTTGACAAAGGAGCAGACGCAGTGCCATGGAGATGGGACGGTTTCAACAGCTGGGACAGCTGGACAGCCACATGCAAGAAAAACAAATGTAGACACAGACCTACACTATTCACAAAAATTAACTCAAAATGAATCACAGACCACCGCGTAAAACACAGAACTCTAAGACTGCTAGTACATACGAGAAAATCCAGGTGATCTGGGGTGTGCTGTTGACATTTTAGGTGCAATACTAGAGACACAATCCATGAAAGAAACACTATGACGCTAGACTTCATTAAAACGAAAACCTTTAGCACTGCAAAAGACATTGTAAAAGAATGAAAAGACAAGCCACAGACTGGGAGAAAATCTTTGCAAAATACATATCTGACAAAGAATTACTATTCAAAATATACAAAGACCTCCTAAAACTTAACAGTAAGACAACAACCCAATTTAAAAATGTGCAGAAGATCTGAACACACATCACCAAAAAAGATACACAGATGACAAACAGGTATATGAAAAATGTTCAGCATTACATACCATTAGAGGATTGTAATTAAACAATGAGATACGACTACATACCTGTTAGAACAGCTAACATCCAAAACACTGACACCACCAAAGGCTGACAAGGACATACAGCAACAGGAGCTGGCGAGGGTGCAAAATGGTGCGGCCACTCTGGAAGATGGTTTGGTTGCTTTTTACAAAACTGATGTATTCTTATCACATGAACTGACCATCTTACTTTTTAGTATTCACCCAAATGAGCTAAAAGCACATCCATACAAAAACAATTAAGAATTACAGCAGGTCTATTCATAACTGGTAAAACTTGGAAGCAACCGTGAGGTCCTTCAGTAGTAGGTAAATGAATAAACTGCAGTACATCCTTATAATGGAGTTTTTCAGCACTGAAAAAAGAAATGGACTATCAAGCCATGGAGGATCTTAGGTGAATATTACTAAGTGGAAGAAGCCAATCTGAAAGGCTGCTCCAATTATAGACATTCTGGAAAAGGCAGAACTGCAGTGGCTCCCAGAGGTTGGGAGAAGTAGAGGCGGACAGGCAAGGCACAGAGGGTTTTCCAAGCAGTGACATCGTTCTGTATGACAGCCTAATGAAGGATGTGGGTCATACACACGTCAAAGCCCATGGAATGTGCAACAGAGAAAAACTGAATGTCAACTATGGACTTTGGATTCTAAGAATGTTATCATATTGGCCATCAATTGTAGGAAAAAAAGTGCCAAATTAATGCAAGATGTAAGTAACAGAGAAAATGGGGTAGAGGGAGTAAGTAAAAGGAACCTTCTGTTCAATTTTTCTGTGAACTTAAAACCGCTCATAAGATGAAGAGCATTAATTTTTTTAAGTCAGCACATTGTCTTCCATCAGAATCGACTGCAGAGGATTCTGGGAAGGTGGTGGAGCAGGAAGCTCCAGGCTTCCTTCTCCCCACCTGGACAACAGGTGAACCGGCAGAATCTTGTCTGGTGCAACTACTCTGGAACTTGAGTCTGTTGAAGGCTCGCAGCTTCACGGGACAGCCTGCAGGGTGAACCACAGTCCCTCTGGCTCTTAACACAGTGAGACCTATCCACCCCCACCCCCTGGCAGGCAGCTGTGCACCTGCTCCTGGAGCCACGGTGGGCAAAAAGGACCCTGCCCTCCACACTGAGGACCTGTGTTCTGAGTGCTGATTCTGCTCACAGCGGGGCAGACGAGGCGGAGGCCTCGGTTGCAGCGCCTCCTCTCATTGAAGGTTCCCACTCTGCTGAAGTGACTGCCAGGGGATTTAAATGCTATTCACAGAAGCATTATTCACAATGGTAAAAAGTGAAAGCAATCCAAGTGTCTACAGATGAATGGATGATCAAAACAGGTCTATCTGGAAGGAAATTCTGATATGTGCACACGACATGGGTGGACCTTGAGGACATGACTGTGAGTGAAGTAAGTGGGTCACAAAGGGACTGATACTGTGGAATCCACTGACATGAGGCACTTAAGAGTTGTCAAAATCATAAAGACAAAAAATGGAACGGTGGGCACCATGGACTGGAGCACTGAGGGGGAGCTGCCATTTAACAAGCATTGAGCACCAATTTTACAAGACAAAGAGTTAAGGGGACGGACGGTGGTGACAGCTACCTAACAGTGGGAGTGTACTTAATACCCCTGAACCAGACACTTAACGATGGTTAAGATGGTAAATTTTATATGTATGCTAACACAGTAAAAAAAAGAAAAAAAAGAATAATATGACTCCATGAGTCCACACTCATAAGCAGGGGCAAAGGAGAGGCTTTAAGGGCACTGCAAATACAAAGGACACACCTGGGAGCAGTGACAGCCATGCAGCTGCCACGGATGACTGACTCAGGCGTGAATCACCACCAAACGCTCAGCTACTGGGGAGGAGTCTGCTGGTCCCCACGGTGGCCCCGCACCTGTCACAAGACTCACAGCCCCTTCCCCTCCTCCTGACAGAAATCTAGCTCGGAATGCTTAAAGGGTAAGCCAGTCTGGGTTACGTGACCCTAGCAGGACCCTCCGGGGCAGCAGCGTTAGCAGCCCTGATCCTTGTTCCTCTCAGCCATGCCATCAGGCCTCACTGTCTGCCCCTTCATGGCCCGGCCTGATGTCCTGGCTGACGTGGTCGCTCCCCTGCCCCTGCTCTGTGTGAGAATGGAATGAAAGATGTTCCCAAACAAAAGGCCTCTGAACGCCCATAGGTTGCTGTCGGGGGGCCCATGACCGTCAGTGAGCATGGAATAAACTTTTCTTCAACACATCAGTCAAGTTACTTCAGTGACATGATCTAAAACTTTCTCCCCACAAGGTAAAAACAGCAGCTTTACAGTGGAGAAAACAGGCAGTCATCACCTGAACCCAGGGGTCAAAGTTGGCATATGCTTCCCGATCTGATGCCCTGAGGCGGCCAACCACTTGTGATTTTTCCCAACAAAAATGCTAATTTCACATCTTGAACCTAAGCATGAGGAAACACCAGAAAAACACACATTGAGGTTATTGTATAGAATAATTTGTATGCTTCAAAAATGTCAGCCATCAAACACTCAAGAACCATTCCAGGTCAAAACAGACTGGCATATGACAGCTATGTGCAATGGGCCCAGCTTAGATCTTGATGAAAAATTTTGCTGGAAAAGACAACAGGACAATTTAGGTAAATAAGATTAAATAATAGTATTGTATCAATTAATGTTATACAGTGTTAGCATCGTTTCTCATGGATTCGCGAGAGGACGTTCTTGTAAGAATTACTAAAGTACTTAGGGATTGAATCCTTCTCATCTGCAACTTACTTACATGGTTCCAGAAAAAACATATATGGGAGGGCATACAACAAAACAAATGCAGTGAATGTTGACCTGAGGATCTCGGGAAAGGCAAACAGGAGTGTTTCACTACTGCTCGACGTCCCAGCAAGTCTGGAATGGAGACTCGGAGGTCAGTGTGATAAATGGAATATTCCACAGTCACAGTGTTAGAGCAATCAGCTACCCTAAACTGTATCTCCAAACTCAACCAGATAAATTAAAAACTTTAACAAATCAACATGTTTGTTTAAAAATTAAAGGTTTACATTCAAACTCTCTAAAAGAGATAAAAAGAACAAAGCAATGGGGAAAGATCTCTGTAAGCTGACAGAGAACTAATTATTGTGTTTAAACATGTAAGTCAAGAAGAAAAAACATCCCGGTAACATAATTAGAAAAGGTATGAATGCCAATTCACACGTGAAAAAAAAAAGGAAAAGACCGATGCACACCTGGAAAGAATGCTCTAGATCAGTGTCGAAAGAACTGCAAACGAAGTCCCCAGGAAACCACCACTACTCACCTCCCCAGCATGACCTCAGCCACCCTGCGCTCCTCTGGTCGCCCTCCCAGAGCTGTCCCTCCTGCCCCATCCTCCTCCATCCCGCAGTCCTCTGTCCTCCTACCCCTTCCATCCCCATCCTCCCTCCCTCCCTCCCTCCCCCTTCCATCCTCCCCTTGGGCAGGGGCCCAGCAAAGAGGTAGTGACAAGGGGGAGTCAGGGGCCCCCCCACAGGCTGCCGAGCCCACGTGGCTCCAGGGAAGAATAATGGTCCCAAACAAAGATTTAACAAGAGTACTAGTTAAAGTCAGATGGAGAAAGCTGGGTAATAACCATGGGGATGTAGAATAGCCCAGATGCTACCGGCAGCCTGGCAGCTCTGCAGGACAACAGGTGATAGGCCAGAGGTCACCCCCTGCTTCAGAAACCTCGCCAGCACTAAGTTGCCAGTAGAAGACACAACACTAAGCAATAAGGCACAAAAAGGCAATGTGGGTCCCTCGTGGGGTGGAGAGGCACAGCTGCCTCTCTTCTTTGCACTTTTCTGCATTTTCAAAGAGCGTGCTTTACTTTGATGATAATTCTCAAAAAGATGACTTATTAAGAAGAAAGGCCAGTTGAGTGAGGGCAACATTGCAGACAAGTGGTGCCCAGAGGAGAGACCACAGGTCACACAGTGCAGCTTGCAGCAGCCAGGACCCTCCAGGCCTGCATGACCAGAGCCCCACAGGCCCCCACCACCTGTCGGAACAGAAGGACACCAGCAAAGATGGACAGAAAGCCAATTCCTCCGATTTTTCCAGAAATAAAATAACATATTCCAATAACTCATGGGCCAGAGAAGAACCCACAGGAGAAACAGAAAATAATTCTAATTGAACGATATGCCCAAACTGATTACAGACTAAAGTGCATATTGAAAAGGCCTAAAAATCATTCATATTATTATCCATTCAAGTTAGGAAAAGACAAAGAGAAAAAATTGATGAAATAAAAAACAAACACAAAAAAGTAAATAGATGTACACAAACACAAAAAGTAAATAGATGTACACAAACACAAGAAGTAAATAGATGTACACGAGACAGACTCAGAAATGCAAGATGGTTTCATTGAAAAGGCTGGTAAGACTGACAAGCTACTAGTGGGGAGCAGACCCAGACCAGAAACATGAGGAGGAAGAACGGACGTCCACGCTGTAGACATGGGCCTGGGCCACCCACATGCGGCAGACAGCACTGTGCCGGTCAACGTCACACTGATACGGAGGAGAGAGAAGAACACCTGCACGGTCCCCTGATGTAATGAAACTGAAGTCCTAATCAAAAATTAAAACCTTCTCAAGAAACACTCTAGGCCCAGATGGATTCTCCGAACACAAATCTCACAAACTCTTCCAGAGAACATAAAAAGAAAACACTTTTCACCTCATGAGTCCAACATCACCCCACAGGGGACCCAGACAGGATGTCCTAAGAGGGAAAACTGCAGGCTAACCTCTCTTACAACCAGTTGTAAGAATCCCGGACAAACTGCTTTCCAGACTGAATCCACCAACACATAAAAAGGGAAAGCATAGAAAGCATATCCTGACAGTGCTGTGCCCACTCCAGGACCCAAGAGACACGCAACCCTGGGGCCCTGCCGCAGGGAGGGCTCTGTGCCTGCTGAGCTTGAGCTGTGACATGGCAGGTACACTCCTAAGGACAAGCCCCAAGGAGTGGGCCCCTAGCGTTCTGACATGAAAACCAGAGAGCTGGGATTCACAAGGACCCACTGAAGGCCCCAGGACTCCAGGATAAGCACGAGGGGGTGGCACATGTGCTAACAGGTGACAGCAAAGCCACTGCTCTACGAGCGCCTGACTCGGCCCCACACCCACCAGCCCGATTCCACTGATGCAGGATCCAAGCAGCCAAGACCAAGAGGGCGCTTCTGGCCACATTTGCCAGGCGCGGTCACCCAGGGGTGCCCGCTTTATGTGAATGAGTGCCATATACAGGATGTACGCCCTTCTCTGTGCGAGGGCCAGACGTCAACAGAAAAGGTTTATTTAAAACCATGTACCTGGATGCACGTGGAGTAGGAGGTCTGTCTTTTCCACATTAAGATGTGAAAACCACTCGTGTGTGTTACAGTGAGCCTCTCTGAGCCCCCAGTGCGTGTATCTGATACACTCCAGGGCACATGACCAGAGTCAGGACATCTGAAAGCCTCTTTTTAAACAGGCTTCGATCCAGAGCCCCTCCCTGCGACACCCAGCACCTAAGGCACAGAACTCAGCGTCAAGGCCAGTAGCGCCTGGGCTCACAGCCCTGAGCCACAGCCCACGGCTGAGCAACTGTGTGCCCCTGTGCCATGGCTGACATACCTGATCTCTGCAACCCGGTGGTCTGGGAAATGGTGGTGGAAGAGCTTCAGCGCCTGCATCACGGCCGAGGTGCACTCCACATATGTGTAGTCAATCATGATGCTCCCTGGGGAGGACGGAGGGGCTGAGGCCTGAGAACATCTCCCCAGCTGCCCCAGGTGGCAGTTCAGGCCAAGTCATAAAAGAGCGCACAGGGACCCTCATGGGGCCCAGGACATGCCAGCCCTCACCATCTCCAGAGCAATGAGGACAGCGTCACTGGGGACTGGCCCGGGCGACACAGCCACCAGGCGGAGGGTGGGTGCTGGCTCCACCTGTGCCATCAGACAGCCAGGCTGGCAGGAGGGGGAGGAGAGGGGCACCCCCTCTGGAAGCCCTCCATGGGACAACTAATGCCAGAGGAGCGAGATGAAGGGGGACCCACGAGGCAGGGCACAGGGCATGCATAGGCAGACCAGGGCAGGGCCCACGCTGCACATAGGACCATGACACAGCGGAAACCCCCTCCCTGCAAGGTGCCACGGGGGCTCCATGCACAGCAGCCACCAGGAGAGGAAGCCAGCTAGCCACAGACTGGAGGGCCAGGAATCGCAAGTCTTCAGCCTCTGGGAGTGGGCACCCAGCCTTTCCACGCACACCCAGCTCTTCGGGCCCCGAGGAGGTCAGAGCAGGGCGCTCCTATGCTCCTCATTGGGCCTGCCACCGACTGCAAGCATGGCCCAGCCAGGGGAAGTACGCAGGCCCAGGGTGTGTCCTGCAGACATGGACCACTCACCGAACACCTCCGAGGGGTTCAGTAGCTCCAGCAAGTGCCCCCCACGCGTGGTTTCGTAGGTGGCAAACCCTCCATCGGGATTTCTCATACTCAGCAACTACACCGGAGAGAGGGTGTCCTGAGAGCTTGCCATCAGCGAGGGGGCTCAGGAACCCACAGCTGCAAGGAGCTTTCTAGACACACCCCAGGGCCAAGGCCCGATGGGCAGGGATGGATCCAGGGACCGGTTCTCATATTAGACCAAGACCCTAGATGCCCAGAACAGGAGACTAGTTTTTACCCACCAGGTACCCCACAAATAACAATTCCCAACACGAGAGCCCCTCCATCTACATGAACCACACATGCACTGCCAGACCACCTGATTAAATGTGCACGGAAAGCGCATGTGCTGAGGGTTTTGCACCAAAACAAACAGAAGTTCTCATCTTCGTGAGGTACCCAGTGCCAGCCCTCCCAAAGGAAGCCCACGGGAACTGACAGGTCTGAGGACCTCCAGAACGGACAGAAACCTGGGGGCCACAGCAGCCTCTACCCACACCTGTGGCACATATCACTCAGACAGTGCACACACCCAGCCACGGCCACCTGCCAGGGTCACGGTTTACAACACGGATGCCGGGAGAGAACATGCCTCTTGGGCATGGGCAGCACTGGGGAGACCCACGGGCTCAACGAGGGGTGGGGGGACACCTAGCCCCTCAGCCCCACACCTTGGCCATACCACGTCAACAGCATCAAACAACCGCTCCCTTGGGATGTGCTTGGTGATGGAGGAGCACTTCTCTTGCAGCAAAAGGACAGACTTCAAAGCCTCAGCGGTGCAGTCAGCCACCACCCAGCCACAGTCCAGCGTGCTGAAGGAGAAGCCGCCCTGCAGAGCATGGGGGCATGCTGAGGGCAGAGGCGGCTACAGCCCCACGCCCATAGGCAGACAGGCCTGGTGCCACCTTCAGGTCTCACTGCAGGTGGGCACGAGCGGTGCTGCAGGCACCCTCCTCCGTGGCCCCTCAGCGGGCGCTCTGATTCAAGCAGCAAACACCTGTGTGTTGCTGTCTGAAAGCATCTCTAAGGCCTATGTGCAAAACAGGGTTTGGCGGTGTGGGAGGCCCGTGGCTCCACCTCCTCATGGGGCACAATTTCTTGGCCAGGGGTCTCCAGGGGCACCAGAGGACCCCACTCCGTTTGTCTGTCATGTCAGAGCAGGAAGCCCCAGGACACTGCAGAAGGGCCCCCAGACAAGGCCTGGCTAACGGGGCAGCCTCTCCCAGGAGCAGGGTTGGGTGGCCACAGTACCTTGCTCATCTGGCGATAGTACTTCTGATAGTCAGGGAAGTTGGCTGGGATCTGGGCAGAGCCGAGGAGCACATGTGGGAAGCAGAGAAGGGGGCCCGTCACCACTGCATGCAGACGCCAGAGCAGGGAGGGGCTGGCGGAGGACGTGCGGGAGGGCTACTGTGCCACGGTGACTCCGGGGGGCAGTCCCACCCCTACTTGGGAAACACACGGAGGTACACCTGGGGCTGGGGTGGGTGATGGAGCAGAGGGAGGAAGGAGTGCCCCTGCCTGCAGGAGGGCCCCTCCCCTGTGAGATCTGGAGGGACCCCAGGCCTTACCTGTGAGAGCTGCAGGAACCTGTGAGCTGCCTGCAGGCAGGACGAGAACTCGGGCCTGTGGTGCGCCCCTGCCTGGAAGAGACAGCAGGGGCTGAACCACTCCAGCGAGAGACTGAACGGGCAGGCTGGCTCGGCACGACCCTGGGAACCAGGGCAAACCCACCAAGTCTCAGGCCTTGGGTTCCTAACGAGTCAGAGGACATGCTGGAGAGATGGGGTGGGCAGAAGACACAGTCCACCACACCCCTGCGGGCAACCGCAGACCTCCCAGGAACCTGCAAATCTCCGCCAACCTCACCCCACCAGCACAGACAAGGATACAGAAGTATCCAGAACCACCAATTTAAGTTCAGAGAAGAGTTGGAGCCACAGCACACCACCCAGTGCTGACAGGGCAGTTCCACATCTGGCGGGGCCATGCCAGAGGCCTCAGAACTCAGGGGAGCAAAGTCAGGCCAGCACGCACCATGCCTGTGTTAGGTGCGCGTCCCACAGAAGTCAACAAGGAGCCAGCACATACCTCCAGCAGAGCCTGGACAGCAAACGCGGTGTCCCAGATTTGTGAGCCGTTGGTGCCCTACACGGAGGACCAGCGTTAAGGCAGCGAGCTGGACCCACCCACCCTCCCAAGGTGTCACAGGCCCCGGGGCACCAAGCAGGAGTCTATAAGGAGGTAGGAGCCCAGCTGACTCCTGAGTCAAGGCTCTAGGCTCTGTGCACTCCTCGAAGCCCACAAGGGCCCAAAAGGGGCCACCAGCCAGAACAGGACTCTCGGGGCACATCTAGGATTTGGATGACCCCCACCTGCAGCTTCCACTGCCTACCCCAGCCAATGATAGCCGCCTCTTGCCCTAGTCATTGATGAGCAGAAACATCCCCCACTTCTGAATACGCCAGGAGGGAGTGGGGCCTGGTGAGGCCTCAGCAGGCAGGGAAGACCACCTTCAGGGCCTCCCCTGCCAGCAACCTGGTCCCAACCAGCGAGGCAGCCCCAGACCTCATGGGACGGAGGTGGCCAGAGATGTATGTGCAGATGATGCGTGTCAGTGGATAACACTGGATCCCAGGCCACTGGCAGCGCTGAGGGGCACTGAGCACACAGGGCGTTGTGGGCAGAACAAGTACCACCAGAACAGCCACCTGGCCAAACAGACCCAACCAGCATCAAGTCTCCGTTTCAACCCACAACAGTCAGATCCAGAAGGTAGACACTCGAGCGACAGAGCAGGGGGCCCCTAAGTTACATGTGGAAGCAGTGCGGCAGGGAGCCCACGAAGGCTCGTCACCCCCATTCACCCCAGGTGTTTGGAAAATCCTCTTAAAAAAGATCACTGGTATGTGCATCAGAAGCTGGAAGGGGGCTCAGTGCAAGCCTGGAGAGCCCTGGGTGGCTCCTACTGGCAGTGGCAGGCCAGTGTGCAGCCATCCCAAAGGGCCCAGGGCCTGTGTGGCTGAGGACACGTGCAGGAGCTGGGGGTTGGCACTTGTGAGGAGGGACTGTGAACCACCTGAGTGGCAGGAGGCACTGACCTGCATCTTCATGCCGTCCGGACCCAGCCTGTGAGGGTGACAGAAGCCCAGGTCAGGGAGTAAGGAGCAAGAGCTGGAGGGCAGGCAGCTCCAGAGCGCACGTCTGGGACTCACCTGCAGAGCTAGTCCCACACTCAGCCGGGGACTTGTGAGGAAGGCTCCTGAGCCATGTGGGGTGGTGCCTTCCCGAACCACAGCTCCCACCCGGCCTGTGCTCCCCCACAAGGACCCAAGACTGCTCCCCCCGCCAGCAAGGCTGACATTCACCACCCCTGCCCCCATGTACCCACAGGCCTCCGAGGTCTACCTCCAGAAACCACCCAAAGCTTCTGCTACCTGGCAAACCTTTCAGCTCAAAGACAACCCTCACCCATTTCCATGAACCCCAAAAGTCCTGGTCCCAAGGCTTTACTTCAGACACTGCAGAACCCTCCCCAGGATGCTGAGACAGGATAGCAAGCTGCTGCACAGGGGAGGGGCCCATGCACACCCACACTAGGAGCGAGCGTGCCGCGCTCACCAGAGGTAGTCAGGAATCCTGGAGACATGCTCCTGGAAGGCGGTGGAGGCGGGCCCATCCACATACCAGCGCACAAGCATGTTGATGGTTTTCGAGATCTGCAAGGGACAGGCCTGTCAGGGCTCTGCTCAGCGGCACCAGGTGAGGACCACAGCCTGACCCCACGGAGGCCCCGGCACAGTCTCACTCCAGGCCAGCCTGGGAACAAGGGACCAAGCACAGCTGTGCTCCAGGAGACACAGGACAGGGGGCAGAGGCATGGGCACTGCAGCAGGCAGGAGCCAGGGCGCCTATAAGAGGCAACAGAAGCCAGGCCAGCTGGAGAGCAGGCATGACCACCAGAGGGGGGCGGGCCAGGCAGGGGCTCCAGGGGATGAGGGGTGTGCTGTGTCTCGAGCCGCCTCAGATACATCGGGGACAGAGGACAGGCTGAGAAGCGCATAGCAATACACACAAGACCCACTGCTCAAAGCGGTGTCCTAGAGGCCCAGACCTTCCATCTGGGGTCTCCCAAATCAACGCATTCCTAACAGGTCAGATGCATTTCACTCCAGGCCAGGCAGGGAACAAGTCAACGCCACAGGGCACACATTCCCTGCTGAAAGGAAAGCTGCCTGCTGCTCTTGGGGCGGTCGGGGTTCACAACCCAAGGGAGTACAAGGCCCAGAAAGCACCTGGCAGCCGGGCACAGAGGCCACAGTCATGTCTACCTGGGGGCCAGCACAACTCTGCTCCCTGCACCTGCTGCCCCACGTTAAGCCATGCCTCCATGCTGGCCAACGTGCATCTGCTGCTGGGGCACAAGGTCGCGCACGCATGTCCAACTCTGGCCTCTGTCAGGCCACAAGAAGTAAAGCCAGGTCAGGAGCTCAAGTCTCAGAGGGGTGAGAATTCTGAGCCCCTGGGCTTGGCAGGAAGCAGGAACGAATCCCCAGTGCCCCTGGCCCTCTGAAGCCCATAAGCGGAGGACAGATGGTGTTATTTGGGGTAGGGAAGGCCAGAGGGTTAAGGGAGGACAGGCACCCTCCAACTGGCCAGAAAGATAGCCTCGGGAGGTGGCTTCACAGAACAGCAATCCAGACACACCAGGTGGTGGGGGTGGGAGGGAGGGCCAAGTGTGGGGCACAGAACAGGGATGGGGGCCCCAGGGATCAGAGCCACATCCTCATGGGGGTCTGCTGGCCTCTGGCGGAGCCACCACTCCCAGGCTCCCCAAGCCTTCCGCTGAGTCCCTGCCCACCCGAGGCCACACTGACCGGGCCGATGCTGATGTACTTGGAGAAGAGGTCGTCCGCCAAGATGTGCTCGTACAGCTTTTGTGTGGCCCGCTGCCGCAGGCCGGCACTGTGATGGCGCTCGTACAAGTTGAGGATGGCTACAGGGGAGAGTATTGGCACAGGCTCACCCAGCGCTCCCAGCCCATCCATGTTGGGAGCGGTGGGGAGCACTCTGGGAGGGAAAATTAAGCACGGCAGGGACCCAGTGCTTTCCAGAACATGTGAGGGAGGGACTGCGACACTGCCCCACGCAGAGCCCACAATGGAAGGCGCACACCCTAAGCACCCGCACCAGGCCCTCGCTCCACACCCTACTGCCTAGGAGTCCAGGCCCACCCTTGCTCCAAGGGTGGAGACTGGGCAGGCCTGTGGACAGGAGGTGCACAGGCAGCCTGCCAGTTACCATGGGACCCCAGTGCCAGGCAGTGAGGGCAGGGAGGGCAGGGAGGGCCCTCCAGGGCACCCACCATACACCAGGCGGAGCAGCCAGCTGTGAGGCGTGTACACTTCGTCAGGGGCCACACTGCTCCTGTGCGCCGGCCAGTCGATGCTGGCATAGTCCTCCACGTAGAGCTCCTGCAGGGCGGGGTGCTCAGCTAGGGCTGCCCTACCTCCTGAGGGTACACCCTAATGAGCGCCTGCACCCCAAGCCCCATCTCAGGGCGGGGATCCTGTCCCACCATACAGCCCCTCCCGGCCGCCATGTAGGGGACAAGGAGGTGGAAGCCCCGCCCTCACGTAGGAGGCTCAGCTCTACGGGGCCACAGGCAAACAGGCACATGCAGGGCGCCTGGAGGGTGACCCTGGACAGGACCGCGCCTGGGGCTCTCACCTGGCGGAGGCTCCAGATCAGCGGGTCCTCCTCGGCACTCAGCCGGATGGCATAACAGTAACTCATAGGCAGGTACACCTGCCGGCAATGGCACCAGAGTGTGGAGGGATGTGCTGGCACCCACCTGGGAAACAGCCTGGGGGACAGAGACTCAGCTGGAGGCCCCCAGCCCCACCATTGCCACCAACAGTCCCAGACCTTTCTAAGTGCGGGTGCCATGCTCTCGGGGGTGCCCAGGAGCACAGGCTGCAGGAGCCGACACTCCTGCCTGGCAACCAGCCAGGCCATGTGGCTCAGAAACCTTCAGCGCCCACAGCAAATGTGTAGCAATGACGCCAGAAGGCGGTCAGGGCAAATGGCCAAGGCCCAAGGGACTGGTCTGGGCACCTGCGCAACTCCTCTGGAAACTAAAAAGCACTCAGGTAAGAGCTGTCAGAAAGCCTTTCAGCCTGCGGAACCCTCCCAAAGGTGAGTGTGACAGCCGCCTCCACCCATGTGCTTGCCCTGACACTGGCCTGACTTGGGCACTGCCAGGCCGGCTCCGAGGACTGCGGGTGGCGCCTGGGCACTGTCTCCCCTTCAAGCCTCCTTTAGCCGTGGGGGAGGGCCCCTTCCCTGTTCCCTGGGAATCTGGCAGGTGCTCCTAGCCTTGGGCTATTTCCCTCTTGCTCAAGGGCCCTCCGCTCACATTAATGGGTGCACTGGGCAGTACTTCCAGCCTTTCTGCAGCTGGAGTGGCTCAGGGTCTGTCTCCTCCAACCTGCAGACCTGATCCTCACCCCCTCACTACCACCTCCAAACCACTGCTGCACTGATCAGCAGCACCCACTTACTTTGCCATTCAGCAGCGACTGCTGGGCCTCACCTTGTGGGGGAACAGACTACAGAAGGCCCAGGCCTTGGACACGCAACCCCCCTCCCCAGCCTGCCCTTTACGCACCATGTGGGCTCACATCCAGCTGACAAGCCCGCCAGTGTGGACTCTGGTATGGCTCCAGAACACTGCCCACTTCTTCCCAGGTGCCCAGTCTTGGGTAACAATGACCCACCCCAACTCACCAGCTACCACCTCATTGCTGCAACCCTGTGTGGCTGCAGGGGAGGGGTCTCAGCTTTTGTAAGGACTCTGCTGTCATCTGATTGGCCCCTCGCCTCGTGCCTCTCCTCCACCAGCCATCTAACACAAGGCCCCCCCCCCCAGATGGCTCCCTGTGGGACCCTGGCCCTGCTGGCAGTCCCCCAGGGGGCTGAGAAGGGCTCTGCCCAAGCTCCACCATGGTTCCAGGGGTCTCAACTCCTGCAGGTAACTCCAGCTTATATGCACATCAACAGCTTTGAGAGGATGACAAGTTCTCTCTAGATACTCACAAAATGTTAAGAGACACTGGTGGTACTAGGTAAGAAGGACTTAGTGTTGTTCTGCTAAGTATTTAAATTACTATGGTTTTGAAAATTCTTCTCTTGCAGAGATGCACAGTGCTCATGGGCCAAGTCCAGCGTCTGACCAGCAGAGACAGCCAGGGGAGATAAAGGAGCATAGCCCCCAGTGTGGAGGCCAGCAAGGGGAGCGCGCCTGCTGTCTTCTTGTCTACTACAGATGCTCCAACCACCCGAAACAGCAAGACGCGGTCACAGCCAAAGCTCTTCCCCCAGCACATGCAGGCCCCATCCCCTGCCCCACGGCGCCTGCCTGCCTGCCTCCCTCCCTCCCTCCTGCCCAGCTGAACCCCTCCGCCTGTCTGGATGGTTCAGCAGAGCGGGGCCTCACCAGGAGCCCAACAGTACCCCACCCCACAGGAAGGACCACCCTCCACTGTGTCACAGTGGGGAGTGACCGAGGCCTGCTACCGCGCTGGGAAACCACCAAATCAACCGCAGTCAGGTAAGCGTACCACAGCTCTGGGAACAGAGTGTTGAGGCCTTCCCAGCTGTAAACGTTCAGGACAGCCAACCAGAACTTCCCCCAAGAGGGGATGACCACAGCGCCACCTGAGGACAGAAACGGCCCACATCACCTACTCCAAACTGAAGACTGGCCGCAGGAACCACACATGCCCCTTCAGGCAGGAACTGAAGGCAGGCCTCGGAAGGCCTCCACCCACCTGCGAAGAGGCCCCAGAGTGCTCGGGACTGCTGACACCACAGCTGGCAGCTTCCCCAGACCCCATGTGTCCAGCCCAGGGCGTAGCGTCTAAAGCCCCTACCCACAAAGAGCCCATACAGGCACCACCTGGGACGGGGAGGGACCCCAGTGCACAAGGCACCCTGCATACATGTGTGCCTGGATAAGGCACTAAGGGGGTGTGAGCACATGCTCGGCTTTCACCGTCTTGGGGCCACACCAAGTTGCCCTTGACTTGTGGACTCCAGACTCCAATGTGACTCTTGGCAACACATGGCTCAGAGCTGGAGCCACCCCCCAGCACCTGTCCCAGCAAAGAAACACTGTGCTGCCCAAACCCAGGTGTGCAGAGTCAAGGCCCACAAAGGTACTAGGGAAGCAAGACCCAAACATACTCCTTCACCAGGCAAAGAGCCAGAAAGTAGCCTTGGTGCCGAGGAGGCCGATGACAAGTCCATCACAAGGCAGTGCGTGTGACTGGGGACTCGCTGTGGCCTGGTGGGCCAGGAAGGGCTCTGACAAACCAGCCCCAAGGAGCCAGTCAGGCGCTCCCTGGGCGGGCAGTGGGAGAGGGGGGGATGTCCCAGGTGGAAGCCACACACAGAGCCCTGAGGTGGAAAGGAGCTTCCAGGAGGGCGGGAGGCCCCTGCGCGTGGATGCCATGGGCAGGGAGGGCTGGAGGGCGCAGGGGCGTCCACAGCAGGCAGGCAGACTCTGTGCAGCAGCAACAGAAGCCCTGGACCGGGGACGCAGTGCCTCCCCCAGGCTGTGATCAACCAGGTGGGAGCCCATGGGTGAGGGCAGCCCCACTGGGCCCCTGCAGGTGGGTGTGAGCAGGGCCCTATACCGGTGTGGGGCCAGTGCCCCCAGAAAGGCTGATCCAGGTACATGCCCACAAACAACATGCCAGCCAGTTGTCTGTGAAACACGCAGGATTATATGCTTACCCTAAGCATATAAAGCATTTCAAAAAGTGACTGGTAAGGCTAGGTGGCTTCAGCCTCTTCCTGCTCTGGTGAGCTCCCTGTGCAGGTGCATCCTTCCGGTTCTCATGTGCAAGAGCCAGTTGGTCCTTTACCCAGCCTGTGCTGTGCAGGGCTTACCTTTCTTGTGAAGAAAGTTCCGGGCTTGAACCAGGTCAGGATGATCAGGCCCAACACCCAGAATTCTCAGAGACACATAGTTGAGCACAGTTCCAAACACCGTAGACTTGTCCTCGGTATGCCTGTGGGAACAGGAACAGGAATAAGGAAAGGACATCTTTCCTTACTTCTGAGAACAGTGCAATACCTTTTCTCTGACACAGCACGACACAAGAAACACCCAGAAAAGCCATTCTCCAGCAAGAGTTCACACACCTCCCATGACAACCAACAGTTCCAAACTGCCCATGCAGGACACCCCTGCCTTCCTGCTTACAGCCCATCTGTCACCACAGCACATGGAACAAACTGTGAGGCAATGTGTCCGGGCAGACCAAGACCCTGGCAAGGACTTGGTGTCTGCCAGGATGTGCTGGGACCCAAAGTCCAGAGAGCTGGCATCATGCTCCAGGGACCAAGGACTCCATGGTGGAGGTGAGCAGAGGCTGAGCTGTTCTCTGGAGATTCTGCACTCAAGGCAGTGGATTTAGCCCACCCAGGAGGGGCCACAACCTGGCCCTGGTTGTAAGATGAGAAACATCAGAGCCCACGGCCAGACTGGGCAGGCAGATGATCCCCCAAGGGGAGGCCCTGCTCCCAGAGTGAGTTACACTGCAGAAAGTCAGGCTGAGACTCAGGCTGGGCTGCCTGGCCCCAGCTCTACCTGCAGCCATGGCAGAGCTGAGAGCTTTTTACCTTGTTGATGACAGCCAGACGGTTTTCTGTGTGTTTGAGGGGAGAGTCTCAAGAGGCTCTCACTCAGTCATGACAGCCATTTAAACACAAACTATGAAACCCAAGCCCAGAAGGTACACAACCTTCAATCCTGAGACCCCTGGGGAACCCGGAGGCTAGCCTGCACTCACCCTCCAGCCCACTTCCCTCCTGCCAGGCTCTCTACCCGCACACCCCAGGCACACAGGTGTATCCACTATTTAAGATACATGTTGTGCACACATACACACATCCATGCAGTGACACAAGACTGGGGAGACTCACAGGCCCCAGCCGCCATCAGGAAGCTGCACCGACCACAGGTACCGTGCAATCTCTTCTCTGTATCCCACTGGCAGAGGGATGTGCGCCACATGACACGTGATGAGCAGACCTGTGTAGCAGGCACTCATCATCATTACGCCAAGGCCCCTTGCCTCCTGAGGACCCTACCCAACAGGGAGCTGTCCCCAAGGGTCTCCTTCCCATGGAAACGAGTCTAGAAACTCCCTTCCAGCCCTATCAGGTACTTTGGGAACAGGGCCCCAGAGCAGCAGCACCGCTCATGTGACACCCCCTCCATGGGGCATGCACAGCCCACCCAGCTGTGCCAGGGTCCACAGTACTATCACACCTGCTGGGAAGAAACACCAAATGAGTCACCCTTAGATGAAGCAACACTTATTTGCTTATATTTTGGTTTCATGAATTGTTTTACTATTACGTGTCATTTGCAAACAGGGGAGACAGACAATAAATATCCAGCCAGGCCCTCCTGAGCATGGTACTCACAGGCTGCACACCCCAGACTCCTCCCCATACTGGCTCCAGCAGCCACATGCCCAGGGAGCCCAGCGTCGGGAAGGAGAGGTCAGGGCAGGCCCCAGCCCCAATGTGCCACAGAACGGGTGCCTGACTATGGCTCAGAGGCACCAGAAGCCCTGGGAGACACACTGGCACACGGCATGTCCTGGGGGAAGGGCGGCTCCATGCTGAGACACTGCAGAGGGTCACATCAAAAGTCCTCCCAAAACAGGCCCTTCATAACTGTTATGATGCCGTTAAGACAGGGAAGCACACACAAGCAGGAAGCAGAGCCAGAGACTTCCCCATTTTACAGGTGAGGAAACTGAGGCATAGCCCATTTGATGGAACTAGGACTAAAGCCCAGGGAGCGGGACCCAAGTGAGCGCTCACCACAGTGATAAATACACACGCACACATGGCCGAACCTGATTCTCAACCCCACGTCACATGAGGCAGCCGAGGCACGGTGAAGTCCTGTCCCCTTGGCCATGGTCAGAGCAGGCCATGAAGACCCCTGGGGATAGTCTCAACAGGCTCCAGATGAGGCCAAGGAAAGAAAGAGCCCCTTGAGTTGCCCTCAGGGGCAAGCCCATGGGTCCCTGCACAGGAAAATGCAATGCTGTATGTCCAGAAGGCAACAGGCTTGGGGTCAAAGAGACACCCCCATAGGCTCCTCCCATGAGCACTGGGAGCCTCCCACTAGTCCCTCTGTGTGGATTCACAGAAAGTAATTGCCCACATTACAAGGTTCAGTATTTCTCTAGAGAAACGTTGCCCGGATGCAAGTCTTGTCGAGCCAAACCAGTGTGGTACCCAGAAGGCCCAGCTCCAGTCCTCCTACAACTCTGTGGCCTGACCCCGCAGCTACCCACCACCGAGTTCCCTCAGATCCCCGGTCAAGGTGAGTTCACACAGCAAGCTGCTAGGCCTCCCCAGCCTGCCCAGACCTACAGATCCCCACGCACCACCACACCCACCTGCGCAGGCTGGGCTCTTCACGTGGAGGGCCCACCACCCCACCTGCACTGCCACTCGGGAGCCAGCCCTCCCTGCCCCGTAAAGCGCCCCCTGCTTCCCTTGTCGGAGCCCTGGGCTAGCAGAAGCTTCATTCCCATCCCCCAGCACCAACACCGGGAGGACCCGGGCTTAGGGGACGTTCCGGGACCTCCTCCAAGTGAGCCCCTGGGTTTCCGCCTGCTTGCTCATTCACACCAAGGGACTGAGCCAGTCGGCCAGGACTCCAAGGTTGCCCCAGGATAGCCTCCCCCACAAGTGGAGGCTGTACCCTCCTACCTGGCAGGAGAAAGAGTGGGCCGCCATAATCACCCGCCCAGTGTCCATCCTCCGCCTGCAGCCCCGCGTAAAACGCCATCCCATTCAGAGCCCCCTCACGGGCCGTGTGGGCTTTGGGCAAGTCCTTAAAGTGACGCCCCTGCAACGGAGAGAGATGGGAGCTGCGGGTCAGGGGCCAGGCCGGTGGGGCCCCTCTCACGTAGGGCTCCGGTCAGAATAAGGCCCCTGGGCTGCTTTACAAGTTTCAGCCGTTTCAATCAAAAGCCTGGGGCTGACGGTGGTACTAGCATCTCCGCGGAACAAAGGCAGGCTGCCCTTTTCTCATGGTTTTGCTCTCCCGCCACAGGTTTGCAGGTTTCTTCAGAACGCCTCCAAGGCATCCTAACAAACCAACCAGGGGCCCAGCAGCGTGGGTGGGGCACCGACGCCCAGGCTGGGATGCGGCCCTTCTCGAGAAGGGGTACAGCCAGAGGGCCCCCCGACACTGCGCAACCTCGGACTACCAACTTCCTCACGTTACATTCACTGGATCAAAATCCTTTCTCGGAATAAAAACAAAACCAGGGCCAGCTCTGGCGCCGCGCGGCCCCAGCCCCCAGGCACGCCTTCCCCCGAACCAGGGGCCGCCCGCCGCGCGCTCACCGTGTCCAGCCCCAAGCAGTGGGCTTCCAGCCCGCTCTGCGCTCGGCCCGGGTCGCGGCCCTCGGGGAAGAACGTCCACGTCTGCCGCCCCTTCTCGTTGCTGAGGCGCCAGCGGCTGGGGTCGGTGGCGGGCTCCGTCTGGCCGGGACGCCGCCTCCGGCGCAGACACCTGGGACGGCCCGGTGAGCGGCGCCGGCCACCAGAGCCCGGCGCGCCCGGCCCCCCCCCCCCC